GAATATAATTTACTTTCACTGCACATGTCTTTCATTTTATTGTGGTTTACAGGAAAGGACCACTGCCTCCTGCTTCCCATTCTATTTCTTGGCACACAGCAGGCAGTCAGGAATGAGTTTCTGGATGTAAGAGTGAGGATCTTCAGGAAATGGAAACAGACAAAGTTGTTAAAAGTCAAAATCCTACAAGCAGGGGATACCCGTAGTTGACTTTTAGCTTCCTGGGCACCCAAAGGTAGGATAGGGATTTGTTTGGCCAAAGACAAGTGAGAAACTGGCTTTATGCTATAGAAAGATGCCCAAGGTAGAGGAGGCAGGAAGTGGGTGTTTGTGTGACTGGTAATGATGCCTATAAATGGAAATGAGAACACTGGGAGATCAGACTCTGGCCACTTGACATCAAGGCAGGTCTTTGGCAGCTTGGATGGAGACCCATGAGTGGTTTGATAACTCACTTCTTCCTCACATGGACTTGCCAGAAAGCTGAGTTCAGCAGTAACTGGATCAGCATCCCAAGATGCTGAATGAGGTTGGAAGAGTAAACAGATGCAGTCAATTAATCCTCAGACTTTTGGAATACAGCACCCAACTGTGCTCTGCAATGTATAGGCATGCCCCTCCCCTGTCCCTCCCTGGCTCCAGAACACAGTTCCAATACATGTCATAAAGCAGAGCAGGTTGCCATCTCTTCTGGGCTCTGTATATCCCCAGAGCTCTGGGTTTGGTGTTTTGTATAGGTATCCCACATGGTCCCTGACCCCAAGTACCTCAGGGTCTCAGGGGGACATCAAAGAGGGATAGCTAATTAAAAGGTAAGTAGTGGGTAAAAAAGATGGTTTCCTGAGAACCTGAAGAAGGCTGCTAGGAGATGAGAGAGGGCCTGAGGGGAGATGACCAAAGCACTGAAAAGCAGGCAGAAGATGGCTAGGCTTAGAATGCTGGGGGAGAGGAGATTGGAATGAACCCTACCAGGAACAGTCTGGGCCATGGCCTGGATGTGAGAGAATATGATCTATAGGAGACTCAAAATAGTTCATTATTGCTCGACCACACAGTGGCAACATGTTAGGCAGGAGCTTTGCTCAAGCCAAGTTCAGGAGAGACTTTGACATGGTCTGGTGGCCCCAGGGCCTCAGAGATGGAATACATCAAGGCGCTCTAGTTTTTCCAAAACAAAGTTATCCCTTGCCCTTTTCTGCCAGCCACAGGAAAGGGTCCTGTGCTGGTTTGTAGTTTGTTTTGAAAACCCTTCTTCCCACGGAGTCCCACCCATTTGGACAGATGAAACATTGACTCTTCAGCCAACCAGAAAAAGGCACAGAAAGCATCAGAAACACAAAACAAAGGGTGGGGTAGACTGCAACCTTGAGCTGTCCAGTGGTAGGATACTTACCCAGCACATCCCGGTGCTGGGCTTCACTGGCAAAGAAGCAGGGAAACAAACAAGCAAAAACTCTTTACTGCTCATTGTAGGGGAGGGGTAATCATTTAATTCACTCCGAGTTTTTATCTAGTAACATCAGCCTAATTGGCTTTTTTGTGTGATGGCTTCTTTTTTTTTTATCCTTTATTTTATGTATATGGATGTTTTCCTTGCATGCATTTCTTCTGTGCCCTACATGTGTGCAAGTACCCACAGAGATCAGAGGAGGGTGTCAGATCCCTCAGGGCTGGAGTTACAGACAGTTGGAAACCATCATGTGAGTGCTGGGAATTGAACCTGGGTTCTCTGGGAAAGCAGTCAGTGCTCTTAACTCCTGAGCCACCTCTCCAGCCTCCCCCACCACCCTCTCTTCCCCTTTTGGCTCTTTTGAGACAAGGTCTCACTATGTAGGGATGGCTATTTTTAAATGTGGTTTCTCATTACACAGTTTTCTCTTTTTGATTTTTTGAGACAGTGTTTCTCTGTGTAGCTTTGGAGCCTGTCCTGGAACCAGGCTGGCCTCCAATGCACAGAGAACCTGCATGCCTCTATCTCCCAAGTGCTGGGATTAGAGGTGTGTGCCACCACCACCCTGCTCTTCCTTCCCCCCCCCCCAAGATAAGGTCTTTCTGTGTAGCTCAGGCCTGGAACTATGTAGACCACACTGGCTTAGAACTCACGGGGATCTGCCTGCTTCTGCCTCCTGAGTGCTAGGATTAAAGAAAGGCACATGCTACTAGCCCCGCTTAATTTTCTATTTAGTTATAGATTATGTAAAGTTAATGATTTTTGTCTCTTTTCTTTTCTCTTAAATTTCATTATTTCTTAAGTCAGACATAGTGGCACATTGCTAGCTAGTAAACCCAGCACTTAGGGAGATCAGGAGCTCATGGCCATCTTCCACTATTTAGCAGGTCCAAAACCAGCCTGGGCTACATGAGACCCTTTCTCAAAACAAACCCCACCACAATAAATAAATAAATAAAAAAGAAAGAAATAATAGAACCCCCTCCCCCTGCCCCGCCTCCCACCCTACCCCCCATTTCTTTGCAGCCCTGGCTGACGTGGAACCCACTGTGTGGCAGTAATTCCGGAAATCACTGCCATTGTGATTATGGGCAGGAGCCACCACGCTTGGCTGAAATTGTTTTCTTTAGCCAAAAGTGACCGAGTTTCTAGTGTCGTATTTCACACTCGCTGTGATCAGGGTCTGTTGTTCTGCCAACTAAACTTGAGACTGTAAGTCCCTGCCAGCTAACATAGCACACGTATGTTCTGTCCGGCTGTGAGCCCAGCGCTGCTCCTTCCTCATCATCCAACATGTGCCTCTGACACTGGCCAGCCCTCTTCAGGGCACACACTAGTTCTCCATGGTTGTGTGTGCATTCTGCCTTCTCTGCTCACCCACCATCCCCCAACTGCCCTATTTTCTCCACCATCAGTCAGCCTCGGCCTCTTCCTCCCGGGAGAGCTTCCAGAGTCCCCCCTCCCAGCCAGCTTCGGAAGTTTCTTCCTATCTGGTGGGTAGTTTGTACTGCACATTTATTACAATGTGTTCCAACCTTGCCCTCCTCCACTTCTGGTTGTTACTCTGCTCTTCAGTCTGTATAGCCGAACAGGCAATCCTTCTAACTCTTGAGCCTCAACCTTGTGTGAAATCCAGGGAGTGTACTGGGGGAGCCTGCTGGGAGACACACCAGGGCCCCAGTCTGAGCCTAGTCTAGAGTTCAAGATTAACTTTGGTGGAGAATCAGTGGAACTCCCAGACCCCACTGCCTGGAGGGATGGCTCAGTGATTAAGAACATCGGTTGCCCTTGCAGAGGACATAGGCTCAGTTCCCAGCATCCACATGGTAGCTCACAATCATCTGTACTCCAGTTCCAAGGGATCTGATTCTCCTTGCTTCCATGGGTACTGGCTACACATGTGGTACATAGATATACATGCAGGCAAAACACTCATATACATAAAAACATTTTCAGTGCCATACTAATTATTGTGATGGATGGTTTCTATACACTGTCTTCTATGTGTCTGCTTCAGGGAAGAGTGTAAAATGCTGGAGAAGACTGGAGAGTCATGATTGTCTTAGCATTAGCCATAAGTACCATTTTGGTGCATCCATGTTATATTTCAAAAGGTCACATGGAACCTTTCCTTGCTTTCCTTCTCTCTCTTGATAAGTGAGGTGGCTCATTGGGTGGAGTTATAACCTGATAAGGCAAAACCAGGAGCCACTAGGGTTGCATGTGGAGATAGGTATCTGTCCTTTCCTTCTAAACTTGGCTTCTTGTGAGAGTTCTAGGAAGCTACAGCTGCAAAGGGAAAATGGCAGTTGTTAACTGTTATGAGCACTTTCCCACCATCCTGGTCCCACAGCCTCATCAGGCCCAAATAACACACAAAGGCACTGTATTAATTATGAAACTGTTGGCCAGTTACTAGCCTTTCTTATTGGCTAGCTCTGTCTAAATTATCAACCCATAATTACTAATATACTAATATATGTATTTCTACATGGTCTTTTCTTACCGAGAATGCCAGATTCATGTGTCCTCTCTTCTCGAGGTCACATCTTGACCCTGTCCTATTGCTATCTTCCTTCTCAGGTCTTTAATGAGGTTGAAGATTAGACTGTCACTGTTATTGCTCTCTCTTCTTAAATAGAAATATTAGGTACAATACTTAAACTTTCCAGAATAGGACAACTCTATAGAGATCTCTGTTATGCCTGCACCCTAGGACTGGATGTGTGGTTCTTGCCATTTGCTCTTGTTGCCTCACTGGCAACAGGTCTTAAGTGTGTATGTTCTTACTTTGCCTTCTCCTAGAGCACACTTGATATTTACTGTCATTGTATATAGTTTTGTATCAAGCCTAAACCTTTTCTTTAGACTAAAAGGGGAATTGTAATGAGATATCCACCTGTTGTACTGACTACTCCAGACGTCATTTGGGCATGGTCACAGGTACAGGTCTGTTGAGGTAGGCTGGTCTGGGGTCCTGGATCCCTACTTGGTTGGTCATGGAGAGCAGCCTGGGTGTGGATCCTTGGAACTGGAATTTGCAGGTCATTGGTTTCTCACAGAATAAAATATATAACCCATATTTTATCCTTGTCCCGTGTATCTTAATCTGTGCATCGTTAGTTACTATGCAGAAAATCTTGCTAGGTTGCTGACCAGAGATTATCACCTGTATTTCTGGGTGAGGTGCTCTCTTTCCTTTTCATGTTCGCAAGGTTCCCATGTCTTGTGAACCTTGGATTCGAACTCTAGACCACCTGTTTTCCTGTCTGCATCATGGGGTGTAGTCTCTTCTGGTGCTTAGCATCTAGCTTAAACCAAGCCATGCCTGGAGGCGGTGGCCAAACCCAGGATCCCGCCTACTGGCCTCGGGGTGCTGGAGGGGCAGGGATTGGTCTTCTCCAGGTTCTCCTCGAGGGAAGCTCCGATTGGCTATCAAGCGAGACGGGGCCTGCGGATTGGCTGTGCGGCGGCCGCCAGCTGACGTGGAAGGGCGGGACCTGCGGGCCTGTGCAGCGGGTGCGGAAACGCCACGAGAAGCGCGCGGGCTCGGGTAGTAGACATCATGCCTCTGGAACTGGAACTGTGTCCCGGGCGCTGGGTGGGCGGGCAACATCCGTGCTTCATCATCGCGGAGATCGGCCAGAACCACCAGGGCGACCTGGACATAGCCAAGCGCATGATCCGTACTGCCAAGGTGAGGGGTGGGACCCTAAGGGCCCGCGGGGGGTGAACGGTGCAGCCTAGGGGCGAGTGAAGGAGGAGGGATCTGGGAGAGTTCACGAGAGACTCCGGAGAACCTGGTCGCGAGAGCTTTCTGGTTCTGTGCTCCGAGTCTCACTTGCCTCGGTTCCCCAGCTCGGTCTTCCAGGAGCTCACTCGCCCTCTCCGCCTCCCTGCCGACCCGACCTTTTTCTTCCCTTTTCCGGTTCCATTAGTTTATTCCATTGTCTGGCACCGTCCGTGGGCTCTCTACCAGACCAGGATCTTAGGTACCCAACCCCTTCCTGCTTGTCATATGACACCTCGGAGATCCTCCGGAGACATTGGTTTCCAACTACGGCCGTTGGAAGTTGCTGTGGCTTTTCTTTCACCTGCCAGTCCTAAGCGGTGAAAAGTGCAGGTTTCCTAGTGCAGATCCTGCTAGGGGACCTCTGTAAGCCTAAGCTGCCTGATTTGAAAACCCGGTTTCGTGGCGTTGTGTTGTGATGAGCATCAAATGAAAGGAGTGTAAAGCACGGTAGAGGGCACAGAGCTCCTTAGGTGACCACCTACCACTGCTAAGATGCTTAGATGCATATGAGTATGCACTCCCCCACTTCTCATAGTAAACCTCCACTCTTTAGTCAGGACTGCAAGGGTGATTTCTCCAGCCACTCCCGACCGCAGCCCCCAGCCCTAGGACTCGCATGTTTTGTTTTTAGTCTTTTTGAAACAGGACTCGTTCTAACCTGGTCTAGCCTGGGTCTCACCATGGATCCTCGGCTCTCCCTTAATCTGCTTCTGTCTTTCAAATGGTGGGATTATTTATGTACGCAAGCCTTCTCTTGGGACTTGTCATACATTATTTAAACCATTCTGTTATGAACTGGTCTTTAAAGAGAGACTGTAGTGTTCATCACTGTGACTCTAGCCCTCAACCGTCCCCTGATTTCTTGGTTTGTTGTTGTTGTTGTTTTTAATGGATTGATTTTAGTTGTTCATGTTGACAAGAGTCTCTCTCCCTTTGTATTGTAGATTGACTAGGCTCTTGTGGCAGTTCTCCTGCCCCAATCTCCCAAGTGCTGGGATTATAGGCATGCACCATTACACTGCACAGTTCCTGGGGCTGGAGAGATGGCTCCGTGGTTAAGAGCACTGGCTTCTCTTCCAGACTGCCTGAGTTCAATTCCCAGTACCCCATCTTCTCACCTCTGCTCTCAGCAGACACTGGGCATAGCGCACAGACATACATGCAGACAAAACACCTACACACACATACAGTAAATAAATTCATTTCAAAAAAGAGGTAGCTGACCACTTAACTTCTATTGTCTGAAATTCAGTTTTATTTTACCCTTCTTCAGGGTAAATTAAGTGGTCTTGTGAATGTGGTACCATTGAATCTCAAAGGGATTTAGGAGCAGTAACTGCTAACAAGTTTTAGGTTCTTATTCTGAGGTACCGAACTAAGTGCTTTTAAGCGTCATCTCCTCTAATTTCTACAACAGCCTGTTGTCAGCTACATTTTAAAGATTTAAAGAAGGCAGGTTGTGATGGTGCCCACCTTTGATCCTAGCACGTGGAAGGCAGGGGCTGGCAGATGTCTGTGATTTTGAGGCTAGCCTGATCTAGAGAGCAAGTTCCAGGCCTGTCAGGGCTATATAATGAGACCTTATCTCAAAACTTTACACTTTTTAATCTTTTGCTTTTAGACACAGGTCTCCAGCCGTTGTTCTATAAAGTCAGAGGAATGGCCTGTTTTTCCAGGGTGTGACCCCTTTGTATGACAAAGCTGTAAAGATACCTAGAGGCATAAAAACCGAGCAAACACAGTTATGGCTTTTCTCTCACACCTTCACTTTAGTCCTGGAGGGCACTGGGGCTGGGGACACAGTGACAAGGTTGGGGCTGTGCTATAGTACAAGGGGCCGGGTGTAGAGTTGAATGGTTGAATGGTCTTGAGCTGGTGACTTTTCTAGGCCTTGGGTGTTTCTTATTTCTCTCTCTTTCTGTGGTGTTTTAAAGTTCAAAGCAGGGGGATTTCTTACAGTCCCTGCATTTTGACTTCGCTGCCATTGGTAGCACGAGGCACATTTGTAAATTTAGTGCCTGGGGTTTGTAGTGTACAAGCGCACTTGCTCTGTGATGAGTGTGTTTTTTGTTTTATTACATTTAGAGTGCACTCCCACACGTGGGTCTCAGGGATCGAACGCAGGTCATCAGGCTTGATGGCTGAGCACTTACCAGCTGAGATGTTTCACCAGGCCAATAAAATACATATTAAAAGGACTTTTTATTTTTGTTTTTCTTTCTTTTCTTTTCAAGACAGGATCAAAACTATGTAGTCCTGGAACGTGCTATGTAGACCAGGCTGACCTCCAAGTCAGAGTTCTACCTGCCTTTGCCACTGTTTCCTAAGTGTCTGGGCTCAAAGACACACACCACTATACCTGGCTTAAAAGGTTTTTTTCTTTCTTTTTTTTCTTTTGTTGAGGCAGGGTTTCTCTGTATAGCCCTGACTGTCCTGGAACTCACTCTGTAGACCAGGCTGGCCTTAAACTTAGAGATCTGCTGTCTCTGTCTCCTGAATGCTGGGATCAAAGGTGTTTGCCACCACTACCCAACTCTCTTTTTCTTTTTAAAAAGGACTTTTATGTAAGCCTGTTGTAGTGGCCCACACCTTTAATCCTAACACACAGGAAGCAGAGACAGGAGGACCACTGTAAGTTTGAGGCCGTCCTGGTCTACAAAGCAATTTCCAGGCCAGTCCAGACTATTTAATGAGACTTTTCTCACTATGTATTTGTGTGTGTGTGTGTGTGTGTGTGTGTATGTATGTATGTATGTATGTGTGTGTGGTGTACTTCCAAGAACACTCATGTATGTGTATACATGCCACTGTGCTGGTTTAGAGGTCTGAACACAACTTTTAAGAGTTCTGTTCTTCTACTATGTGGGACCTGGGATAGAACTCAGTTTGTCAGGCTTGATGGCAAGCATCTTTATCTGATGAGCCATTTTTACCTGCCCTCCACCTTAGTTTTTGAGACAAGGTTTCTCCCCTGAACATATTGCTCACGATTCGGTCAGCAAGCCCCAGCCAGGGGAGTCTGGCTCTTTTACTGGGTGGTGTGGATTTAACTTCACCCCTTGAGATCTCACTTCACCCACTGAGCACCCTTTCAGCCCCACTCCATTTTTTCTAGGTATAATGATGTCTTCCGCTCCAGGCCACTGAAAATGTCCTACTGTGTGTTACAGGAGTGCGGGGCTGACTGCGCAAAGTTTCAGAAAAGTGAGTTGGAGTTCAAGTTTAACCGGAAGGCCCTGGAGAGACCATATACTTCGAAGCATTCGTGGGGAACGACATATGGGGAGCATAAACGGCATCTGGAATTCAGTCACGCCCAGTACAAGGAGCTGCAGCGCTACGCTCAGGAGATTGGCATCTTCTTCACTGCCTCTGGCATGGACGAGGTGAGCGCTCAGCCACTTGTGGGATGCAGGCAGCTTTCAGTGCAAAGTCTGCTCTAGCTCTGCTCACCTTAATTATGTCCAGCTGAGTAGGAAGTCAAGTCAGAGAAGGGTACCATAGTTTAAAAACAGTGCCCCTACATCAGAGTAGCCACGATGGATTCCAGCATCCTTCACTCTGAGACAGCTGAGCTGGGCCAGGCTCTCCCATTTAGAATATGGTTTAGATTGGGAACCAGTGTACTTCACCAGACAGCTCTGACTGGCTCTCTGGGGTGCTGTTGGTATCACCCTCAGGGAAGTGGCTCAGAGGCTTGCTGTACTGACATCCTAGAATGGTCCAGCTGGTACTAGATAGGCCTCAGATCCACTTTGCACTATAATTTCCCTCTCTCTCTCTCTTTTATTTTTGGAAACAGGCTCTTTATTATAACCCTGGCTGTCCTGTAGACCAGGCTGGCCTCGAATTTAAAGAGATCCCTCTACCTCCGCCTCCTGAGTACTGGGATTAAAGGCATACACTATCACCTCCTGGCTAGTACTTTTATACTGATAAATGACGCTGAACCAGGCTTGGTGGCCCCCACTTTTAACTCTAGTATTTGGGAGAATTAGTTCAGGGCAACCTCAGCTACATAGTAAGTTTGAGGCCAGCCTGAAGTATATGAGATTGTCTCAAAACAAAGCAAATGCCAAGGTGAGCATCTTTTGCAGGTGTCTTCAGTTGCTTCCTTAGAGTTGTTTTCTAAAAATGGACATTAAGGTGGACTTAGGGACGTGCTTTTACTTGGAATAGTTTTTCATTGCTTTAGTTAGATGGTTGAAAGTGTGCTTGCGCACGTGTACACACACACACACTCTCTCTCTATCTGTGTGTGTGTGTGTTTGTGTCTTACTATGTAACCTTATTGGAAACTGCTATGTAGATGAGGCTGACCCGGAACTCATGAAGATCTACCTGCCTCTACTTCCTCAAGGTTGAGGCTGAAGGTGTGCCCTACTACACTTGGTTCATAAAACGTATCCCAGAATATGTTTGTAATTGTAAGCACTGATCCTTGCAAAAGGCAGGAAGCCTCAAATGGTGGCCTGTGCCTTTCATTCCAGCACTGGTAAGTGTAGGTGGGAAGACTATTGTGAGTTCAAAACCAACCTATGCTGTAGAGTGGGTTTCAGGCAGAGCTACAAAGCGAGATCCTGTTGCTTTTCTTCTTCCAGCATGGAAAAGACAAACAAACAAACAAAACCTCAAAAGGGAAATTTTTAAAAAATTGAAAAGACTAATAGTCCTAGCTCTTGGTGGTGAGCCAGGCCAAAACAGCCTGCAAGCCAGAAACAGTACTGCTTTTCTGTACTGAAAACCTGCTGGGGTTTCCCTCTGCCTTTTGGGAAGGAGATTCCTCTGGCAGTTGGTGTCATGGCTGTCCTTGGGCACAGGTAGGGAGGAGAAAGGGCAGCGAGGGGGAAATGGGTGTATAAAGCCTTTACAAAGAGTGAATTGATCGTTCTTTGCCAAGTTAGCATTTCCTGGTCAGCCTCTTGAGGGCTGGCTTGGTTGGGTTCTGTCTGTCCTTCTGTGTCTCCCACCTCTGTTTCTGAAGCAGGTGGCTCCCAGGGGTAACTCCCCGGCTACATTATGATGGCATTTATAGGTGCCTCGTTTCTCAGGTGTTCTCTGTGTGCTCAGGAAAGGTCAAGGCCTGGCAGAAGTTCCCAGGACACTTTTTAGGAGGGAGTGCCTCGGAAGTGGGCACTTTCTTTCAGCCAAAGAAAGCTCAGTGTTGCTGCAGTAAGCGGCAGCTGTGAGCCTGGGATGTGTGAAGGGCACCTGCTCAGTGACGGTGACCACAGAGCCACCTCCCTCTGCTCTTGCCCCTGCACTCACTCGGTCCTGTCCACCTCCTTCTTCTGGTTGCCTGTTGCCTGCTGCCTGTGACAGGGCTGGCCCGTCCTTTTTGGTTCTGTGCTCTGTTGACATAAAAACCACAGCTCTCATCCTAAATGGAACAAGAGACAGTTTATTCTGGAGCCATTCTGAGTGACCATGGCCTGAGAACACACGTAGGTTACCCCAAATTCCGTGCTCCAACGTGGAAGTTGTCTTACAGGGTTTTTATAGTTTTACAGAACAAAGAGTCATAAATTAGAGCAGCTTTAAAATATATTGGTGAGTACACCAGAGAGGTGGGTATAATTCAATGGGGGAGCCGTTCTATAGGCCCAAGATGCTGTCTGATGACATTTAACTCTTGGATTGGCCCACCAGTATTCTGCTAAGTTAATAGCTTCTAAGAGGTATTTGTTTACTCACTTACTTATTTATTTTTGATTTTTTGAGACAAAGTTTCTTTCTGTAGCCCTGGCTGTCTTGTAACTCAGTCTATAGACCAGGCTGGCCTAGAACGCAAAGATTCACCTGCCTCTGTGTCCCGAGTGCTGGGACTTAAAGAATTGTGCTACCACTACCTGTCTGAGGTTTTTATATATTACCATGAGGTGTTAGTTCAGATATATAGTGGGGCAAGGCTAAAACTAGCCCAAGATAAAGTAATTAGCCTCTGAACTTGAAAATTCCAATCTGTTGGCAGTACTGAAATTCCAGTTGGTTCATTAGTCTCTGCAGACACAGAAACTCCTTCTAGGTTGTTGTTGTTGTTATTATTATTGTTCATAGCTAGACACACCGTTATTATTATTATTATTTTCAATCATAGCTCCCCAGTGGTCACTTACCCCTCTGTTCCCCTGTTAATCATCATGGGCTTTTTCCTGCATGATCCCAGCCAAAGGGGCTTTGGAAAAGTTCTAATTCCTCAGTGTGATGGAGCATGCCTGGAATCCCAGCACTCAAAGCAGGGATAGGAGGGAGGCAATTTTGAGGCTAGCCTGGGCTGTAATATGGTGCTGTTATTTTCAAAACAGAGAAGTACTAGTCTTCCTCTTTCTGTTACCCCTTCCTTAGATTAGTAGTTTCTTATAGTGTACACACAGAAAGGTTCTATGAGCACCTAATATCTGTTTGTGTTTTATTTGTGGGTTTTTTTGGGGGGGGTTGTTTTGTTTTGTTGTTTGTTTTTTTGAGACAGGATTTCTCTGTAGCTTTTGGAGGCTGTCCTGGAACTCACTGTAGACCAGGCTGATGTCAGACTCACAGAGATCCACCTGCTTTGGCCTCCCCAGTGCTGGGATCAAAGGCGTATGAAGCCATGCCCACTGTCTGCTCTTACTGAAGTTTAAACAGCTCTGAGTCAGTCAACCAGGTGTGTTGGTGATGCCTGTAATACTAGCCCTTGGAAGACTGAGGCAGGAGAATCAAAAGTTGGAGGTCAGTATAAGCTACATAGCAAGTTCCAGGCCAGCCTAGAATAATATGAGCCTGTCTTAAAAAGCAAAGAAATGTATCCTAAGTCAAACCAGTTTGGTAGACCCAGGACCATCTCTCCTGGGAGCCATAGCTGGCAGTCTGCTGGGGGGTGGGGTGGCATGTTCCATGCCTCAGGCGTCTGAAGAGCTATGATTGATTGCATTTCAAGGCAAACTGAAAAGAGGAAGTGGTAGGTCTGTCTGGCTTGCTCCAGGAAAGGGGTCTAACAGCAGTAGGGCAGGTCAGAGGAAGCCAGCAGCCCCCTGGGAGGAAAGCCACTGTGCTGTGACCAGGCCTGAAGGTCTACAGGCTCTCAAGGCAGGATCTTGCAAGTAGCAAGGTTTGCACCTTTGCAGGGTGATGAACCAAGGTGGCAGTTTTCAAAATGGCCACTAGGTGGCACTGGTTCCCCAGGTGGGCTGCAAAATGAGGCACTATTCCTAAGCAGGACCTCCACAACCCAAGGCCTCCCCACCCCCCCTGTTTTTAGTCTCCTGCACTCCATTCCTCTAGTCACCCATCCTGTACCATGAAGGCAAGGGTGAACAATGGTAAAGGACACTCGCTCTCATTGTTTTGTAGATGGCAGTTGAGTTTCTGCATGAACTGAATGTTCCGTTTTTCAAAGTTGGATCTGGTGACACTAACAATTTTCCTTATCTGGAGAAGACAGCCAAGAAAGGTAAGTGTCGTTTTTCTTAAAGCCAGAGACCAAACTTCGTGTTTCTGCTCCCTAGTGGCCCATCATTGTAATTGTATTCATGGAGACTCATCTGTCTCTGATTTTCATTCTGGTTTTTTTTTTTTTTTTTTTTTTTTTTTTTTTTTGAGACAGAGTGTCACAATGTAGCCTGATTGGCCTGGAACCTGCTATGTAGCCCAGGCTGGCTTCAGACTTGTAGAGATCTGCCTGCCCTTGCCTCCCGGGTGCTGGATTAAAGGTGTGTGCCACCACAACCAGCTTTGGAGACACATTCTAGAAACCCTCTGCCCTTTTGTTTTAGGGCAGTGCTAGGGACTGAGCCCTGTGTCCTGTGCACCGGATATGAGTGTTCCACCCTGAGCCACACCCCCAGCCCCTGTAGGAGTCTCCTCCCTTATGTCTCCATTTCCCAGTGTGAATGATCTGAGTTGATCCTCATTACAAACCTGGGTTGGAAGCAGGTCACGCTACCAGCACATTCTGTACTTGTGTCGTAGGCAAAGTATCAGAGCCCTGAGGACAGGGCTCCATGCAGGCCAGCTCTAAGCTGGTAGCTCTCGACCTGTCTCAGCGGTGCTTAGGAATCTACCACACTGCAGGTTGTGTCTCCTTCATCCTGAATGCTTTTGAGCAGGGGAGTTCCAGGCTTTGGAGTATTTGGATTTGGGATTCATAGACTAAGGTGAAACCTGTTCTGTACTGTGCAGTCCCTTGGTCTGTAGGGACGCCTCTCTTTCCCACGGTGTGCTTCCCTTTGCTGGAGCAAGAGGCAGAGGAAGTGGACTTCCCTGTCAGTTGCTGTGTGGTGTCTTAGGAGATGTGGGTGGGGGAGTCTGAGCCCTGTGAAGAAGGTGCCGGTTCTTCAGGTCGTCCTATGGTGATCTCCAGTGGGATGCAGTCAATGGACACCATGAAGCAAGTCTATCAGATCGTGAAGCCCCTGAACCCCAACTTCTGCTTCCTCCAGTGCACAAGTGCATACCCACTGCAGCCGGAGGATGCCAACCTGCGCGTCATCTTGGTGAGTGTGAAGTGAGGGTCTTACTGACCCGTTCCCTTCCGAGTGTTCATTTGCAGTGCTGGGGGTTGAATCAGGGCCTGACAACCAGGTGTTCTGCTGAGCCATCTGTAGCCCTAGCCTTTGTTATAACCATCCCTGGCACACTTTGTAAATTTACAGATCCTGTCGTAGAGTGACAGAATCAAATTAGACCCAGGCACAAAGGAGGGGGACTGCAGATTAAAATGTATGACACCAATCTTAGTTTTTTTGTGGGGATGCCTCATGATTTTTCTTTCTTTCTTTCCTTTTGGTTTTTCAAGGCAGGGTTTCTCTATGTGGCTTTGGATCCTGTCCTGGAACTTGCTCTGTAGACCAGGCTGGCCTTGAATTCACAGAGATCTGCCTGCCTCTGCCTCCTGAGTGCTGGGATTAAAGGTGTGTGCCACCAATTCCTAGCTGTATCATGATTTTTCTTCATATACGTTTTAATCTTCTTTCTTTTCTTTTTTTTTGCAAGGTCTCACTGTATAGATCTATCTAGCCTATTACTCTGTATACCAGGCTGGCTTCAAACTCAAAGGGATCTACCTGCTTTTGCCCCCCAAGGGCTGGGATTAAAGCTTCCATAGATTAATATAATTAATTTGATTCCAGGTACTCTCCTGATTTTCCTCTCATTAGAAGTCCTATGCCGTCCTCCCTCTGGACATCGCTACCTGGGGAGAGTGACTTTGCCAGCCCATCCTGTAACAGCAGAACTCCCTGGCCTAGTAGTCTGTACTCTTTTTTTGGGGGGGGGTGTTTGAGACAGGATTTATCTGGTTGTCTTGGAACTTGAATTCATTACCGCCTGCCTCTGCCTCCAGAGTGCTGGGACTAAAAGCTTGTGCTACCACTGTCCAGCTGCAGCCTATAATCTTATCATGAGATGTTAGCCATCCAACATTCCTAATCTGCTACTGCATTCCACCTGCCTCTTCCTGCTGGGCTTCAGTGTTCTGGCCACCATCACTGACAGCACTTACTCATCTGAGAAGGTCTTTGGTGCATTAGGTGAATTATAGATAACATTAACTACTCAGCATTCCCACCAACGGAATGTTTTGGGCCCGGGCTGTGTGTATCATTGATGTTTTTATGTGCAGCACACTTGGTTTTTCAGCAGTACAACTCATTAAATGTGGTGAGCTTTTGGGGTGAGCTCAGGCATTCCATTTCAGTTATGTTGTTTTTCTTGTTCTACACAGGATTAAACATCCACACAAGGTGTTGGCTTAGTAAAACGTTTTGAATTTATGTATGTGTATGAATATAGGTGTGTGTACACATCATGGTAAGTGTATAGCAGTCAGCCGGTGGGAGCTGGTTTTCTCCTTTCATTGGACAGCTTGCAGGGATCAAACTTCTCATCAGACTTGATGGCAGGCGCTTGCCTTCACCCTCTGAGCCGTCTCCATGGCCCACAGAAGGCATTGTCAATGACAACAGTAACTTACAGTGTGGTGGGTGTCTTAGGGTTTCTGCTGCTGCAACCGAACACCATGACCCAGTAACTTGGGGAGGAAAGGGTTTATTTCACGCACAGTTTCATATAACAGTTCGTCATCAAATCAGTGAGGACAGGAACTCACACAGACCGGGAACTGACACAGAGGCCATGGAGGATGCTGCTTACTGGCTTGCCCCACCTGGCTTGCTCAGCCTGCTTTCTTATAGAACCCAGAGTTGGCACCACCCACAGTGGGCTGGGCTCTTCCCCATCGATCACTAAGTAGGAACATTCCTTACAGCCAGATCTTATGGAGGCATTTTCTCAATTGAGGCTCCCCCTTCTCTGGCCTATGTCAGTTGGCATAAAACCAGCAGGTACAGCGGGTGCCCTCCCTGTTCCCAACAACTCTCATTGGATGCTTTTATTCTTCCCACCCCTGGCTGCTCTGCCTGGGAGTGGCTGAAGTAGGGTGCCGGTCAGATCTCTCTGACGAGAGCATGTGTAAAGCTCCCGAAGAGTAACTACTCCCCTTGTCTATTTTATAGGAATATCAGAAGCTGTTTCCCGACATCCCCATAGGGTACTCTGGACACGAGACAGGCATTGCCATATCAGTAGCTGCAGTGGCTCTGGGGGCCAAGGTGTTGGAACGTCACATAACTTTGGACAAAACCTGGAAGGGGAGTGACCACTCAGCCTCCCTGGAGCCTGGAGAACTGGCGGAGTTGGTGCGGTCTGTGCGCCTGGTGGAGCGGGCATTGGGCTCTCCAACAAAGCAGCTGCTGCCCTGTGAGATGGCCTGCAATGAGAAGGTGGGTGCTGCCGGACTCTGTGACTGCCTAGCCTCGCTGTCCTGAGGCGGGAATGGCACACTTGGCTAGGAGGTGGGCTTAGTATGGCCTGTCTGAGCCTGACCAGATGACAGGGTGAAGGGATGTTATTACCCCCCACCCCATCTGAGTGTCATTAGGCTGTGGGAGCAGCCTGGTGATGGGTTACACAAGAGCAGTTCAGGCTTTTCAGCCACCTCTGGTCACATTAGCTTTTCTAAGTCTCTGAAGCCTGTGGCCTTGGCTCAAGTGATGTCCTAAGATGGCCAAACCTGGACACTTGGAGTAGGCATATTCTGAGGCATTGGAAAGAGAACCTGGGCAGTCCTAAGTATAAGGGGCACTGGGTGGGTGGCCACGGCCATTGTGTGGGGCTACTGGGCAGTGATGGTGAGGCTGAGGCATGCCTCCCAGCTTCTTGGAAGCTGTGGCCTGGACCTTTCTGCCCTTGTGAGTTTAGAGCCAGGAGTCCCGGTCCCAGGAGTAGTATGGGTCAGGGCAGAGGCCAGACACTGGGTATACATGAGAGGTGTTGTCATCTTTTATTTCATGGGAGAAAAGCTGCTGCGCTGCCGCCCCCTGCCCCATAGGTGCTCCTGTGCTGTGGAGACAGCAGTAAAAGAATATAACTGCGAGTTGTGCAAGAGACTGGAATGAGCGTTACAGGAGCTGGGCGTGAAATGTAGTGTTTAGAGCGGAGGGTTAGCCACACCAAGAGCCACAGTATGATAATCAGCGATTCACACAGCTTCTCCTGGCGCTAAGGTCCAAGCAGGGTTAGAACTTGGAGGCTCTTATGTGAGTAAATGCGGGCGAGACTGAGATGCTGGTTGTAAGCCAGCCCTTGGTCTCCCATCTGCCTGTCCTAACCCTTTCCTGGGCACCCCTTGCCGTCTGAATAACAGTCACCTCATTGCTCACGAGCCCTCCATAACCCTCTTTTAGGTTCTCACCTTGGCTCTTGGCAGCTTGACCAAACTGCCTGCCTTCTTTTGACTTTAGTTTCCCCTGAGATGTTAACTAGACAGGGACAAAAGGAATCACAGTTGTCATGCGCTGGGAGCATGCTGTGCCCCACTCTGTTAATATTCTGACAAGGTGCCAGCACCTTTAACAGGGAGACCAAGCACAGCTCTTCAGGCCCATAGGTATTGAACCTGGATCTATCTGGCTGCCCTGCCCTTTGTGCTGTATTACTGGAAAGGCCTTTCTCTCCTCATCTGAGTTGTCACCTGACACTGGCTGTGAGGAGCTGCTCTGGGCATTGTGGTGACTAAAGTCCTTCTGTGAGTGTCCATTGACAGGGGCGTCAAGTGTGCAGGAGTTATTTCTAGGTTCTGACACTGATCTTCCTGTGTCCACAGCTGGGCAAGTCTGTGGTGGCCAAAGTGAAAATCCCCGAAGGCACCATCCTGACCCTGGACATGCTCACTGTGAAGGTGGGGGAGCCCAAAGGCTATCCTCCTGAAGACATCTTCAACCTAGTGGGCAAAAAGGTGCTGGTCACTGTTGAAGAAGATGACACAATCCTGGAAGACTCTGTGGAAAATCACAGCAAGAAAATCAAATCTTAAAATAAAGTGCCACGCCCTGGCTTCTCAGCCAACCCTTCACTACTGTCCAGTGTTTTGGGTGCACACCGTCACGGTGGCCACCTTTGTCCAGTCCATTGGAAAGGAAGAGCCAATGAGGCCATTCTACTTTGAGGTGTCCAGCCAGAGAAGGTGGCCCAGAGCAAATGTAGCTCCTTCAGGGTTTCTGTGTAGCTCTGTTGTGACCTTAATCCTTCATGTTCCCACCTACAGAGCAGCTCCAGGAACCTGAAGTCTTGATTCCTCAGACAGTTGAATTCCCTCCTCTGCTTCTGAGATCCCAGAGTACTGAATAGTGGTCACTTTGCATTAGACTTCCTGGGCAGAAATGGACTCGACTGTCTCTGAGTAAAGGTTGGGAGAGAGCAAATTTCCCTTTGGCAAATCCTCAGGGCACACTCTGTGTCAGTTACCATCAGAGGCCTAGGGACATGGCTCCAAGCATCCAGCCCCTTCCTCAGAGGGCTAGTCCTCAGATGGGGCAGGTGCATGCTAATGCATGGTGCATATGGTGGATCAGTGAGGCAACTGTTCGAAGGGAAATGTGAATCCGGGAAGAACAGTCTATCTGTGTGAGGGGCGGCGGTGTGGAGGTGGAGCTTGCATGTCTCAGGTGTGAGAGGGGATGCAGAAATGATCCCTGCCATAATCACCGTAGTGTCTTGTCACATATTGCAGATTACCAACTCAGGCACAAAGACTCCATTGTTTGACTTCCTTTTATAGATGTTCGTTGTCACATTTCACTTTGTTCTTTGGAATCGATGCTGAGATTAATCATTTTGTTCTTTTCAACTATCTTCTTGTCTTCATTTATTTTATTTATTTATTTATTTATTTATTTATTTATTTATTTATTCTGAGACAGGATCTCATTCTATATCCCTGGCTGGCATGGAACTTGCTATGTAGACCAGACTGGACTTGAACTCTGAGATCTGATTGCCTCTGCCTCCTGAGTGCTGAGGATCAAGGTATATGCCCCCACACAAGACCCACATTTATTTTTGTGTACGTGTATGTGTGCGTGAGTTACAGAGAATGACTTGTGGGAGTCAGTTCTCTCCCTCCACAGTGTTGGTCCCAAGGATCAAACTGAGGTCATCAGACTTGGAAGCATTCCTATTTACCAGCTGACCTCTTATCACTGGCCCATTAGCCACACCCTTCCCCCTCCCCCCCATTTTGTGTATGTTTGCAGAGGTCAGATGTCCTACTTTATCACTGTCAATTTTATTTGAGACAGCATTAGCTGTGCAGGCATCTAGCAGGCTCCAGAAATCTGTCTCTGCCAGGCCTGGCTTTTTACTTGGTTACTGAGATCTGAACTCAGGTCCCGGTCCTTAAGCAGCAAGCACTCTTACCTATCAAGCCACCTTAAGCCCTTTCTCTCTTTAAAGGTTTATTTTTATTTTATGTATATATGTATATACCAATGGAGGTCAAAAGAGGTCATCAGATTCCCTTACTAGAATTACAGTTATGAGCTATGTACACGATGAGAACTGAACCAGGGATCTCTGCAAGAGCAAAAATTTTGCTCTTGACTGCTGAGACTTCTCTTCATATGCTTCTTTTCAAGGTGGTGTGTGTGTGCGTGTGTGTGTATGTGTGTTGGTGTTTCCAGACAGGATTCCTCTGTGTAGCTCTGGTTGTCTTAGAACTCACTTTGTAGACCAGGCTGGCTTCAAACTCAGATCCACCTGCCTCTGCTTCCTGAGTGCTGGGATTAAAGACTTGTACCACCACTGCCTGGTGTGTGTATGTGTGTGTGTGTGTGTGTGTGTGTGTGTATTGGTGCACATACGTTTAGTGCATGTATGTTTGCGTAAGGGTCTTGAATCTCCTGGACCTGGGGTTAGACAATTGTGAACTGCCATGTATGTGCTGGGAATTGAACCCAGGTCGTCTGAAAGAGCAGTGAGTGCTCTTAACCTCTGTGCCATCTTTCCAGTCCCCTTTTCCTTTTCAAGTTCTTAATCTTTGTGTTCATACTACTCAACCTTATCTTTTTAAGAGAGAGTGTGTGCGTGTTTGCGAATGCCCTCACAGGCCAAGAGTTTCAGATCCCCTGGAGCTGGAGTTACAAGCAGTTATGAGCTGCCTGATATTGGTGGTGGGTCCTTTGCAGGAGCAGTTTGAGTTCATAACCACTGAGTCATCACCTCTCTGGGCCCAACCCAACCCAACCTTTTTTACTGTATCATTCCTATTTGAAAGTGTATATTCAAGTCTCTTCTCTGTGTGTAGTGTATATAGTTAGCCTGAGAGGTTTCTTTGTGAATTGGGACTTCACTTTTTTGGAGCCTAGACTGACTTGTGGGGTGGCAGGAGTGAGGGGTGTACTGGTTGTATCCAGGCACTTCCCAGCCTACTCACAGTTGGAAAACTGACTTGCCTAAGCACTTGAGGGTGGGCTGTGCAGAGCTGTGCCCATGATACCTCCACAGACAGGATCCACTGAGCTGACCTTCACTAGAAGAGGGGTGGGGAGAACTGACTTGGGAAGGTCTCCTAGAAGTTACAGCTAGTTTAGCCTTGTAGATTGATCAATGGCTGAGGAATGAACTGTGCAGGCTTGGAAAATGCCCAGTGATTTGCTAGGAGTGGAAGGTGGAGAAGGAAGGCTCAGAGCCTTCTGAGTTCTTCAGGGAGTGGTGAGCCAAGGATTCAGTTTTTCTTTTCTACATTTATGAGTATGGTTTTGCCTGCATGTATGTCTGTGCACCACATGTGTGTCTGGTGCCATCAGGAGCCAGAGGAGACTGTTCAGTCTCATGAAATGGATATAGTTGTAAGCCACCATGTGGTTGGTAGGAACTGAATTTGGGTCCTCTCCAAGAGCAGCCAGTACTCTTAACCACTGAGACATCTCTCTAGCCTCTACATTTTGTGTGTATATGTATGGGTGGGTATGCACTGTGTGTGTAGAGGTCAGAGGACAAGTTGTGGGGTTTTTTGTTGTTTTTGGTTTTTCGAGACAGGGTTTCTCTGTAGCTTTGGAGTGTGTCCTGGAACTCACTTTGTAGACCAGGCTGGCCTGGAACTCAAGAGAGCCACCTACCTTTGCCTCCTGAGTGCTGGGACTAAAGGTGTGTGCCCCCACTGCCTGGCCAGAGGGCAGGTTTTAAGAGTTGCTTCCTCCCACCACGTGGACCCTGGGATTGAATTCAGATTACCAGGCTTGGAAGCAAGCACCCTGACCCGGTGAACCATCTTACCAGCCTTTCTCATCTCCCCTAGAAAACTTCTGATCAGAACATGATAGAATCTGGCCTGGGCGCCCCCTCCCCCCCACTCACATAAACACCGTGCTGTCTGGAGCAGGCTGTCCCTCACAGCACCAAATGCTTCTATCCACTAGGAACTCCTGTATGGGGTTACCACAGGGCCAATGTCCCTAACAAAGTATAATTTTGGGTGGAAGAGATGGCATTGTAGGCAAGAGAGCTCCGGAATTCTCTAAAAGGATTCTATGGTGCTGAAGGATGATTACAAACATGTTTCACAGTATTTTTGTGGCTGCAAATCGCTGAATTGGGTTTCTTCCTTGAAAAACTTAGGGGGCATTGTGATGGCTTGGCAGGTAGATTGTTATCGTTCTGACAACCTGAGTTCAATTCCCAAAACCCACGACAAAAGCCACTCCCACCAGTTATTCCAGCATGTGTACCATGGTACTTAGGTCCCCTGCCCCCACAAAATGGATATTAAAAGTAACTTGGTTATCTTCATGAGTGGTGAGTGCCCCATTACTGGAAGTGTTGAATTTAGGACCAGCTGACTATTTTCAAGAAAGCCATGAAGGGGATGTCAGATGAATGAGGTCTTATCCAGGCCTGTATGCTATGCACTTGAATCCCTCTGAAGAACACAGTTAGAGAGAATATTCGTATTTTATTAAACAACACGTACATTAGAAAACGTCATTTAAAAATAAGGTTGTTAGTAGCCAACATGGACTGAAACCATATGCCCAAAGGAAATGATACATGAGCCTCTCAGGGTGATGGTGCCCAGAAAATAGCAGCTAGCCCCAGGTCTGAGACTGTTCTGAGGAGCCAGCCTCTGCCTAGTCCAGTCTCAGGAATCTTAAGTCCCACACTTGCTGGCCCTTGAAACAGAGGTGTCCGTCCTCCATTTCCCTCAAGGCTGGTCTGGACTAAGCCTTTTTCTTACAAAAGAAATGGCTGCTGGGGCTGGAGTATAGCTCCACGGAGTACACAGTTAGAATGTGCAGGGCCATGGGTTCTAGCCCAAGCACCATGGGAAAATAATTTGTGGTTTACCTCTGTAGTAAATTCTATAAAACCAAGAGCATCAAGACACAAGATCCCAAAGGAATATCCCTGAGAGTACTGGGGCAGCTCCTCAGCTGCCACCCACCTGGGTGTCCCTGGTCCAGCACTGTGACAGGGTACAAGAAGAGACTCTATTTCCAGATGCTAGCATATCCTGGCCTGACACAACATAGTTATTAAGGCAGTTTAATTAGCTTTGGGTCGTTTGAGCCAGGTGGCACTGGCCCACATTTTACAAACGGGGGCCACAAGTACAGAGCCTGAGGCCACACAGCTATGGGTAACTAACCTTCCACCTAGTACAAACCTCGGCGCAGAACCAGTCTTTCTGCTTTCTGCTCAAATCACAGCCTCTCCAAACAATGCCAATCCCCACTGTGAAGGGTATGAAACCTGTTTCAGAGACCATTGAAGGTAGGTTTGGCTCAAGGAAGCAGCTGAAAAAAAAAAAAAAAAAAAATGAGGCAGCTTCCACTGTGGGAGACAAGCTGTTGTGTCCACAACACAGCCCAGTGGGAACACAGAGCCAGACTGCAACACTGCTTCCATTACCTTGGGCAGTCAGCTGAGTGTACAATGGGATCACTTCCCACCTTTTAGGGATGTAAGGATCAAGTGTGTGACTATGTGTGATAACGCCTGAGCCTGATACAATCGTTAAGAGATACCTGGCTTGGCCCCTCCAGCGGTGAGGGTGGGAAAAGCTCTTGGTCTTTTGTGAATGAAGGAGATGTAGTGTCAAGTATCCATCTCCCATGTTAGCTCTGTCCTGTCAAATCAACTTTTGAGCCATTCTCAAACGTTTTCTCTTCTGGAGTAGCCCGCTACTCGCTCATCGGTTGCCTGGAAGGGTACTTGGGAGGAAAGGACACGGACATCCTTAGAAAGCAGCTGAAATGGCAGATCCTATATTTGCAGGCCTCATAGTTTTGTTTTTTTCGGGGGGGGGGGCGTGTTGCTTCTTGGGGCAGATAAGCCCGAGGAGTGAGACAGGTAAAGAGACGGTTTTCCTATTTATGCTGGGGAGCACTACGGTTTAAAGATGCAAAACTGCAACCCAACTTCTGACTGAAGAATGTTTGAAAAGACATACAGCAGCTGTGTGAGGTCAGGCTGTCAAAGAATAAGCTAGAAAAGTTGAGAAGCCAGCTAAGAGCTTCCTGGTTTGTTCTTGTACCTCTTTGTGAACCTTCTTCTAATTCCAAGAGGCCGAGCTAAGTTTCAGGTTGCTCACCCTGGCTTTAGTGTAGAAGATGAAGATGGGAGAGGATGCAGAGCAGGAGTCAAGAAACCCTCTCAGGTGCTCTGCATCGAGGTGACCTGGACAAACTGAAGAGGCTAGAGAGCAGTTGGCTCAAATGGGGACCTTTAAGGAGATGAACTGTCTCCGCCGGGAAACTTTCACCAAAACTTACTGTGTGCCTACTGTGTGCCAGGAGGTTCTAGGCGCTGCATGGTGTCCCAGACACAGGCAGCGCGGGGTTGCGTGGGCAGAACCTGTAGACTAGCCTAGGCAAGGAAGGACGCTCGCCTAGGGCAACCGGGGGATGCTGATTGCCCCCTCCCAGAGGCGCAGGGCCGGGTAGAGCGGTTCCTGGAAGGAGGCATGGAAGGTGTACAAGTGGCTCATGCCACCCGTCACATCGTAGAAGGACAGAACGCCGGCTTCGTAGTCCAGGAAGACGCCTAGCCGGTGAGGGTCGCGGCGAGGATGCAGGCGGCTTCGCTGGCAGTCATGGAAGGCCCAGTACTCCAGGTCGTAGCGCTTCACGCACCACGACTCGCGGTTGCAGCCTAGGCGGGCGGCGGCGGAGGTGCCGTGGCGCCGCATGGACGGGTAGGCCGCGCCCACCCACCAGCCCACGCCCGCCTCCTGCACGTCCACCTCCCAGTAGTGGCGTCCGGCCGCGAAGCTGTCGCGGCCCAGCACCTGCCGCAGAGAGTCGAATCGGGGCGCGGGACGCGGCCCCAGGCGGCCCAGCAGCGCGCAGCGTACGGTCAGTCCGTCCGTCGACAGACGCAGGCGAGCGTGCATGGTGTCCGGGTCCAGCGTGGGGGTGCGGGCGTCTGCGGAGACAGCGGGAGAGACTGCGGTCGGAAGGGGCGTGGCCCACGAGGCTCCGCCCACCACCTCCGACCCCGGAGCGAGAGCGCAGCCGCAGAGAGGGTCCGGAGAAGGCCACGCCCGCTTCTCCCCTTTTCCTGTCCTGATCCCGACACTGGGGTAGGCAGGGACCTAAGCTGTTGGGCCCAGGGAGAGGCAAACATAGAAGGCGTATTACGAGCTCTATACAGCTTGAGTTTGGATCGTGGAATTTGCTGCTAATTTAAAAAAAAAAAAAAAAAAAGTAAGCCAGGCGACAGTGGCACTTAGGAGGCAGAGGCAGGTAGGTCTCTAAATTTGAGGCCAGCCTGATCTACAGAGTGAGTTCCAGGACAGCCATGGGCTACACAAAGAACCTCTGTCTTAAGAAAGCAAGACCAAAAAAAAGTAATTTCACTGCAGAAGAAGGTGGAGCACGCCTTTAATCCCACCATTCGGAAGGCAGAGGCAACCGTTTTCTGAGGTCGAGGCCAACATAGTGAGGTCTATACAGCATGTTCCAGGACAGCCAGGGCTATACAAAGAAACCATGTCTCAAAAACTGAAAGAAAGATAGAAAATCCCTTAACTCTTAGGACTTGGTTGCATGTCCCTTTATCCCTTAACTTTGAGGGCTATGCTTGGTCCTAATATTGGTATCATACCTTGAATATTCTTAGGATATCTGCTTTTTAAACTTACTGGTATGTTTTTGATCCATACCAAGTGCATTTCAGTGGTGATCCTAGTTTGTGTGTTTAACTTATTTTATGGGCATGAGTATTTTTTAATGCCCAGCACTGTAACGTGCAATACTGGTACTGGCCAGAAGAAGGCGCCACATGCCACGTACTGGCGGTACTGCCTCCATGTGGGAGCTGGGAACCGACCTGGCTGTCCAGCACTAGCACAGCAAAACCTCTTAAACTCTGAGCCATCTCTACAGCCTCTGAGGCTAGGGTTTTCTAGGTTAGAAATTGGAACAGTAGCCATCCTTTTGGCATAGTAAATGAGGGATCAGGAGGGAGGCTTCTAGAAATTACAACTTGGTCTGAAGGAGGTGAAGGAACGTTTTACTTTCTCAGGAATTGTTCAGTTGTAGCCCTGGTTTTGTGTACTTGTCTTTGAATGCATTTATTTTTCAAACGTTTCTTTTAAAAATTTGTGTTCAGCTGTGGTGGTGCACACACCTTTAATCCCAGCACTCAGGAGGCAGAGGCAGGCGGATTGCTGTGAGTTGAGGCCAGCCTGGTCTACAGAGCGAGTTCCAGGACAGCCAGGGCTACACAGAGAAACCGTGTCTCAATCCTCAGTGATTACATTTTGAGAAATTACCCCTGAAGACGTGCAGAAAATAAGGCATATTTATCCACCCATTCATTTATTTAACACATTGAATAGAATTCATGGCTTAGAGCTGGGCCCATCTGACACACCTGAAACTCATGCGGACTACAGAGTGAAATCCTGTCTCAAAAAAATGAACAAACGAAATAATGAAGAATAGAGAGGAGAGTAGAATGTAACAGTAGATGTATTTTAATAGAGTTATTGTGAGCACTGGAAATAATGATGAAAATTAATGTCTGATGTGATAATTGGGTGGGGCTTTGAAAGAGCATTATTGAAATGGAGCATTGTTGCTACACTATCACTTAAAGTTACAGGAGATTATACCTTGGTGCTAATTTAAAATACCTGTTGTTGTTTTTGTTTTGTTTTGTTTTTGTGTTTTGAGATAGGGTTTTTCTGTTTAGCCCTGACTGTCCTGGAACTTGCTCTGTAGACCAGGCTGGCCTTGAACTCACATCAATCTGCCTGTCTCTGCCTCCCAAGTGAGTGCTGGGATTGAAGGCATGTGCTACCACTACCTGGCAACACAGTTTTTTTTTTTTTTAAAAAAGATTTAACTTATTTATTATGTATACAGTATTCTGCCTGTATGCATGCCTGCAGGCCAGAAGAGGTCACCAGATCTCATTATATGTGAGTCACCATGTGGTTGCTGTGATTTGAACTCAGGACCTTCTGGAAGAGCTGCCAATGCTCTTAACCTCTAAATCATCTCTCCAGCCCCTCAACACAGTATTATATATGTCTACACAGTATTTATAAATGTCTAAAAAACAATCTGTGGCAACAGTGGCTGAAGTTAGCTCAGTAAGGTGGTTGTTTTCTTTTTGTAATTTCTGATTTTCTTAACAGTGCATGTACTACACATATAATTTTTTGTCTTCCTCTTTATCTCTCATTCTCTCCCTTGCTTGTGATGATGGGAATCAAACCCAGGCATGCCTCACACCAGCAAGCACCCCATCACTGAGCTTCCTTCACCCCTACCTCCTGTAAATTTTTAGGGAAGCCAGTAAGAGATGGTTCACAATTTTCCAGTAAATGAAAACAGATTATAAAACAGTATTTATGGGTGCCCTGTTCTGGTGTGCAGGCACAATGCAGGCAGAACACTGTATACATAATACATAATCTTTAAAAAATATGTATAGCATGAACTATGTTATATGTATATTACTTATGCCCCTTAATAATAATAATAATAATAATAATAATAATAATAATAATATGCTGGGAGGTATCAGCACTTGGGAGGTAGGGGCAGGAGAATCAGGAGTTCAATGCCAGCCATGGCTATATAACAAGTTTGAGGCCAGCCTGGGCTACATGAGGCTCTGTCTCAAAGACAAAACAACACAAAGGCAAAAAACATGGGAGAATAATTATGGATACTTTCCTTTTTGTTTTTTACAGTGAATGTGTATAATTTTTTTTTCTTTTTTCTGCTCTGAATGTGTATATTTTTTAAAGCCTAATAGAAGTTATTTTTGTTTTGTCTGTTTGAGACAAGGTCCTACTGAATAAAAAGTAATAATAATTAAAAAAAAAAGGAAAGGTCATGAGTGCTCCTAGGTATGGTGGAAGAGAAGGTTTATTGTAGATAAAAGGGAGAGCATAGTCAGAGAGGCAGGGACATCTGGGAGAATCCAGAGTGAACTTGTCCTTGAGTTGGGTCAGGGAAGAGGATCATCTGACCAAGACAGGCAGCCTGGGCCAAGAGACTGGCCAAGAGAGTAAAGGATAGACCAAAAGGGCAGGTATCTACAATGGCCTGATTGTATAGGGAATTATATACGGGGGAAGGGCAGCTCAGCCCTTGAGCTGGAGTTTAGGGTAGGGGGCAGAGTATGTCAGCCATACCCTGTAACAGAGAGAGACTGAGGGATGCTGGGAGAACCTGGCAGCTAGTGTTCACTTTGATATTTTATTTATTTTTTGAATTTATTTAACTTTATTTTATGTGCATTGGTGTGAAGGTGTCAGATCTCTTGGAATTGGAGTTACAGACAGTTAATTGTGAGCTGGGAATTGATGCTGGGACTTGAACCTGGGTCCTTGGAAAAAGCAGCCAGTGTTTCTAAACCCTGAGCCATCTCTCTTCAGCTCCCTGCTTTGGTATTTTAATGGGCACCCCAGTTAGCCATTTGTCCCAGATTTGAGACCCACTATATAATAGCCCAGGCTAGCCTAGAACTTGAGCTCTTCCTTCCTGAGCCTCTGAGCACTGGGATTAAAAATTGTGTGGGCGATGGGCCTTGGTGGTTTATTTCTTTGATCCTAGTACTTGAGGGGTAGAGGCAGGTGGATCTTGAGTTCAAGAACAGCCTGTCTACAAAGTAAATTCCAGGACAGCGAGGGATACACTGAGAAACCCTGTCTCAAAAAACCAAAACGTATGAAACTACACCCAGCAAAAATGCTTTAAAAACCATTTTTTGGAAACAAGTTTCTTAACAGGAAGTGAGGAGGGGAGGCTCATTTCCTGTCCCTCCTCCACTTTTGCTCCTCACCCACCCACCCTCCCTCCCTCTCCCACTCCTGGGTCTTACATTTCAAGAAGAGTGATCTCTCCGGTGAAGGGCTCATTTTCAGCAAGGTTCCTGGCTTGGAGCTGGAGGAGCCAGACAGCTGGTAGTTTATGTCTGTAAGGAATTGCAAGTGTGAGATTTGAGCGCCTGCAGCTCGCTGGTGCAGGCAGACAGACAAACACACCAACAAACAAACCCGAGTCTTGCAACTGTCTCCCAAGAATCACGTGCAAACTTAGAAAAAGATACAAACTTTGGAGAGGGGAGGGCCACAAACACAACAGCCACTCATTGGAGGCAGCAGGGATGAGTCTCAGCAGGAAGCAGCCTTCCCAGAAAGCCAAAAGTGTGGGGGGGGGGGCAGGGGGAAGAGGGGGCTTCACGGTCTGAGTTCAGTTCCCAGCACCCATGTTGGGTGGCTCACAGCCACCTGTAACTCCAGTTTCAGGAGACCGACCACATGCCCCCTCTCCCCTCTTCAGACACTGCACTTGTGCACAAACTCACAGACAGGCAGATACATGCATGAGTTAAAAAAAAAAAAAAAGAAAGAAAGAAAGAAAGCCTGACTGTCTTGAACTGTCAATAGCATTGTAATTACCTGTCATGGTATGCTCCTTCCTCCCAAGGATCTTTAACTAATTCTTTAACTAATTAATGGTTGTTGAGGACAGAGCCATTTTCTTCAGTGGCACAGCCTTTGGCCAATGGCTATACTCCAGTAAATAACTTCTCACCCACACTCCTGTAAGTAGTTTTAACTAAACTCAATGGTGCATGAGTGAGTGTGTGCATGCGCACAAAAGCTAAAGCTGGAACTGGTTAGGCAGAGGAAGAGAATCCTTAGGAATGAGAAGGGGACAAGAGAGGGTAATGGGGGGTGGGGGACTGCAGAGATGGCTCAACCATTAAGAGCCCTGGTTGTGGACCTGTGTTAGATTCCCAGCATCCACAAGTTGGCTCACAAGGGCCTGTTCCAGAGGTTCTTATGCCGTCTTTTGACCTCGAAAGCACTGTGTATGAAGTGCAGTCATACATTCAGGCAAAGCACCCATACACACAAAAAGTAAATCTTAAAAAGAGAAGTAGTTGGTCAAATATGTTATGTGCATGTATGAAAATGTCATAATGAAACCTATTTTTTTTTTTTTTTTGATTTTTTGAGACAGAGTTTTTCTGTACTGCTTTGGAGCCTGTCCTGGAACTTGCTCTGTAGACCAGGCTGGCCTCATACTCACAGAGATCCACCTGCCTCTGCCTCCCAAGTGCTGGGATTATAGGTGTGAAACCTATTTTTATGTATAATTAATATAAGCTAATAAAGAATTCAGAAAGGTAAAATTGATCACCTACGCAAAGCCCAGCTAAGGCTGCATAGAGATCCAGTTCTCAGAAACAGCAAGAGGACCTTAGGGTCCGTGGGGACCCCTGCTTGCCCATTCCTGGATTTTGCCCATAAGGCCTCCTTCGTCACCATGGCCTGTGAGTAACATTTTGGTAGACCTTGGCGAAGGCCTTGCCCCTCTCTGAACACTAGAGTCAGTCTGTTACCCGAGTGAGAAACTTCTCACAGGGCTCTTCCCTGTCTCTGGAAAAGTTCCTTCTACTTGCTAATTTCCAGAGCCTGAGCCTTCTTATCCTGGTTATATTTTGTCACACTGACACAAGACAGTTATCTGGGAAGAGGAGCCTCAACCGAGAACACCCCAACATCAGGTTGACCTGTAGAGGAATTTGTAGGACATTTTCTTTTTTCCTTCCTTCTTCCTTTCCTTCCTTCCTTCCCTCTAACCCTTCTTCCCTCCCTCCTTCCACCTCCCTCCCTCCCTCCCCCTCCCTCCCTCCCTCCACCTCCCTCTCTCCCTCCCTTCCTTTCTGTGTATCCCTGGCTGTGTATCCCTGGCTAGGTAGATCAGGCTGGCCTTGAACTCACAGAGATCAGTCTGCCTCTGTTGTGTTGAGATTGAGGGTGTGTGCCACCATGCCTGACACTGGGGAACATTATTCTTGACTAATGATTGCTATGGAAGCACGCAGCCTGGGATATCCCTGGGCAGGTGGACCTGGGTGACATAAGAAGGCAGGCTGAGCAAGCAACAGAGTCGGGCAGTAAGCAGCATCCTCCATGGTCTCTGCATCAGTCCCTGCCTTGAGTTCCTGCCCTGGTTTCCCTCAGTGATGGATTATTCGCTATAATGTGAAATAACTCCTTCCCTCTGCAAGTTGCTTTTGATGTAGTGTTTATCACAGCAATAACAACCCCACACCCTGCCCCCCCCTCTCCTTGCTGTGCCCATTCTTGTGAGCTAACCCTTTTACAGCCCTTCAGCATGAGGTGCTCACTCTCCCTTCACCTCAGGCCCTTCCCATTTGTTCTTTCTTCTGCCTCGAGCCCGTTTCCCCAGGGCCCACGGCAGTTAGATGGAGTTGATAGAGCTAACCCTGTATGGCAGCTCCCAAGCAGGGTCTCTGTCATGCACATGTGGAAACAGACCTAGGAAACCACTGGACAAGCAGAATGACTTCAGAGCTGTGTGTCACCCGTGCTTCCTGCCCGTAGGGAATGCCCCAGGACCTTCTCAAAGAGGCCTCCTCAGTGCCCGCTATGAAATGGCTCCTCGTCTGTCTCCTCTGGCTTTATTTTGCCTCATAGCAGTTCCTGTGAGCTGAAACACATGCTATCTGCCTTGCCCTCAGAGGGCTGTGACACATGACAGGCACATGGCCAATGTTGAGAGTGAATTACCACCACAAGCTTTGTGGGCGCTTCAGGGCTGGGCCCCAAATGAGTTCTACCCTCCAGGCATTTACTATGTTTGAGGAAGGGCTCATTTGGCCATCTCATGAAGCCCCAGGCAAGTGATCAGGTGGGGGGGGGGGCTAGAACGTGTAGGGCAGAGGTGAGGTGACAGGGGAGTGAGCTGAAAGGCCTGAGTGTGGACAACTGTGTCAGCCACCTGCAGGGACCATGACTGGCCCTGGGCAGAAGAGAAGGGATAAGAGCTAGCAAGGCATTGGTGTGAGCAGACCCTAGAGGAGGTGGTGGCTGGAGAATGGCAAGCAGGACACTGGGTCAGGACAGGTGGAGGTGGCATCAGTAGTTAAGGATGGGTTGGAATGGGGCATGGTGGAATGTACCTGAAATCTACTCAAGAGACTGAGTCAGTACTGAATGGCCCAGGCCAGCCTCAGCAACTTAAATGACTCTCCTGAAATAAAAGAGAGCTGAGAAAATTAAGAAAGAAAAGAAAAAAAGAAAGAAGACAGAGAGATATATCTACCTCAGTGGCAGAGTGCTTGTTTAGCAGGCTCCAAGTATTGGGGGTGGGGGTAGGGTGGCTCTAAGCCAGGAGCTCCTAACTGCCCAGCCAGGACATCGTGTGGGAAAGGCATGACTTAAGTTATCGTCAGCTGTCTCTGCTTCTCTGGTTTATGACTGTCAAGTTGTTGGGACTGAAGTCATCAAGAGAGTCTCTAGACTGGGAAGACCTGCTCTAACAGTAGGAAATTCTCCACACTGCATAGAAAGACAACAGCGATTCAAGCATCCACACCCATCTCCCTCTGCTTCTCGGTTGCAGATGTTTTGTGACCAGCTGGCTCCAGCTCCTGCCACCTGAGTCCGTCACCATGACAGGCTACAGGTGGAGCCAAGTAAACCCTTCCTTCCTTCTGTGCTGTGTCACCAGACTCATTAGGCAACTCACTTTGCTTCAGGCGAGTGTCCATTGGTGTCTGTAAAGTGTCCCGGATGGCTTCCACAAATGTCTTAAAGAAGTTCTTGACGGGCTCGAAGGACAGGGGCACAGGGTGGCTCAGCTCCAAGGGGCTCATGTGCTGTTCCATCTCTGACTTAGTGGCTATATATGCCTGTATGGACAGGCACGGGTCAAAATGGCTCCAGGGGCTGCAAGCTCTGTCTAACCTCCAAGCACACCCAAGAAGAAACCCAGGCAGTCAGGACCCATCCTTCCTACAGTGGTCAGGATGAGCTGTGCCACAGAGCAGTGGCCTGAGATATAAGGCAAATGGGCTGCTGGTAGCCCTTTCCCTTCTTCCTCTCTCCTCCCCTTTCCCTTTCCTTCCCACAGAGTCCCTAGGATGGGCCCCTGAGCAAGGAGAAATGACCAGACCGGGACATTAAAGTCAGGCCACTGTGAGGGTCTGCCTCGGGGCAGATGCACTGAATTGAATCTTCGAAGACCTGGGTTCCACTCTGTTTCATCTTGTTTTGCTGGGACACAGTTTTGTGGAGACTAGGCTGACCTTGAACTCCTGATCCTCTTACCTCTACTTCTAAGATGCTGGGATTACAGGCCCATTTCATTGTTCCTGGCCAGACCCAGGTTCTGATCCTACCAGAGTGTGAGCTCCAGTGAGTCCTACTTCCCTTAGCCCCACATCTCATCTACCAGAAGCCTTACTGTACACCTCTAAATATTTGAGCTAAGATTCATGTGTTGGTTGGATAAGAATGGCCCCCGTAGGCTCATATATCTGAATACTTGGCCATCGAATTGTGGCACGACTTGAGAGGGATTAGGAGGCCTGGCCTTGCTGGAGTAGGTATGACCTTGTTGGAGGAAGTATGTCACTGGGGTGGCCTTTGAGGTTTTACATGCTCAAGTCAGGCCCAGTGTGTCTTATAGTCTCTTCCTGCTGCTTCTCTAACACCACGTCTGCCCACATGCTGCCATGCTTCCTGCCATGATGACAATGGGGACTAAACCTCTAAAACTGTAAGCCAGCCCCAATTAAATGCTTTCTTTTATAAGAGTTGCCAGAGTCAGCCAGGCAGTGGTGGCACACACCTTTAATACCAGGAGGAAGAGGCAGGCAGATCTTTGTGAGTTGGAGGCCAGTCTGATCTGTAGAGCTAGTTACAGGACAGCCAGGGATACACAAAGAAGCCCTGCCTCAAAAATAAAAAAAAGGGTTACCATAGTCATTTTGTCTCTTCACAGCATAAAACACTAAGACAATTCACAAAGTGCTTGCAGCTCAGGGACCCTGGGAAATGGTGCTGTTAGGACAATTTATGTGAATATATATATATATATGTATATATATATATTCATATATATATATATTCATAACTGTGTATACTTCATGACCACCTGTGTGGTGGCACTAAAGTCTAGATGCTAGCCAGGGAAATCCCTGTGTGTAAACATCATGTTCGATGCAATGACCCAGGTGCAATATGGGTAGCTGTAAGACCAGGAAGCTATCCCCCCCTCGCCATTCCCCCCCTTCCCAAGCTGTACCTGCAGCAGCTGGATGGGGTTGGGCTCCAGACTGATGACCCACACCCTGGTAGAGAAATCATCCATGACTTCAATTTGCTTCCTGCAAGACTCCGCTTGCTCCCTGTACACCTGGAGGGTGAGCTCTGTGTTCTTATCGATGAACTTTTTGGCCAGTACTTCCTCTTCATCCAGGAGTAATCTGAGTTCTGTGAATTTCTGTGTCAGCCATGCTTTACTTGAGTCTGCATAAGCCTTAAAGAAAAAAAAAAGTTCATTGTAGACAATATACTTGCCAACCAGGAAGTCTAGAACAGAGAGACACAGAATGAGTCCAGCAAGGTGGCCAGTCAAACCAAGAGGCGACTCATAAAAAAATAAAGTTTTCCTGAGCACTGGCAAATAGTTTTGAGACAGGGTTTCTCTGTGTAGCTCTGGCTATCCTGGAACTCACTATGCCAGACCTTGAACTCACAGATATTCACCTGCCTCTACCCCCTGAGTACTGGGATTAAAGTTGTATGATATAACACCTAGCTAAAGAGCCTTTTCCCTTTCCTTCCTTCCTTCCTTCCTTCCTTCCTTCCTTCCTTCCTTCCTTCGTTCCTTCCTTCTTTCCTTCCTCCCTTCTTTCTTCTTTGTCCTCCTCTTTTTTTTTTTTTTTTGTTCTTAAAAAATGTCTTTTGGGCTGGATCGGTGGCTCAGCAGTTAAAAGCTCTTCCAAAGGACCTGAGTTCAAGTCCCAGGAACCACCACATGGTGGCTCACAACCATCTATAACAGGATTCAGTGTCCACCTCTGGGAAGCAGAGGGACATGCAGACAGACCACTCATATAAATAAATAAATTTTTTAAAAAATAGATAAAAATAAATCTTTTTAAAAAAGCCTTTCTTTGTAGCCCATGTGGCCTCTAACTCCTAATACTTCCATGCCGGCTTCCTTCCTGAGTCCTGCAGGCTTGTACCATCATGCATCTTGCCTGGCTTCCTCTGTGAGCTGGGCACAGAGCACGACTGGCAGAGAGCTTGCCTAATATGCACCATGCCTTGGAGACACAGGATATGGTGGTACATCCCAAAGATGGAGGCAAGAAGATCTGAACTCAAGGTCATCATCAACTGTATAGCCAGCCTGGTCATCATGAGATCTTGTCTAATACAACAAAAACAGAACCAAAACCCTTGGGATGATACGGGAGGACCTGAGGGAGGGGAAAGAATTTGATCAAAATATATTGTATGAAAAAAATTACAAATAAAAATGTAGTAAAATCCTTTGCAAGGTGAGGGGGAAGATAGCAAGATGTCTAAAAATAAACATAGCAAAAACTGCATAAAGGCTTGGAATGTAACTCAATGGTAGAGAGCTTGGCTGACATGCAAGAGGGTTGATTCCCCAGCACTTAAAAGTATAAAATCATACTGAGAGACACAAAAAGCCTTACTACTGCTTCCTTTCTTTTATGGGGACTGGGCAGAAAATGCATTCACCTGTACAGAAGACGTCTACACTGAACCCCAAGCAAGCATCTATACATAGGGATAGTTGGTCTCAGTTTTCTACATGGCACACTCAAGTTTGCTGTTATATAAATCACGTTGTAACCACACAATGCAAAATGCATATCATTGAAAAAGGATGCAATGCTTTGTCACGCGCTGCAGGATGGATGACCCATAAAGACTCAACCCTAAGCCAGATTTAAAAAACAAAAAACAAAAAACAAATAAAACCCCACAGCTGCCTTTATGAGAAATATCTAGAAACAAGCACAGTTACAGGAAGTAGAGAAGTGGTTACCAGGGGCCAAGAGGGGACTGGGCAGTGATTGCTTAATGGCATCTCTTTCTTTTCTTCCTTTATTTATTTATTTATTTATTTATTTATTTATTTTTCTAGACAGGGTTTCTCTGTGTCACCCTGGCTGTCTGGGAACTAGCTCTGTAGTTCAGGCTGGCCTCAAACTTAATAGATTTCCTGCCTTGGCTCCCTGAGTGCTGGGATTAAAGGCGTGTGCCACCATGGCCTGATCTTTTTTTTTTTTTTTTTTTTTTTGATTAAAGAAAAACGTAGTAAATGAATGTCTGTGTGTGGGTATATACTCATGAGTATGAGTATGAGTACAGGTCAGGCACAAAGACATCAGATTTCCTGGAGTTGGAGCTCCAGGTGCTGGGACCAGAGCTCAGGTCATCTGCCACAGAGCCTTGTCTCCTGCTGTTTTCAGTTTTTATTTGTTTTTGTTATATAGGTACATATATAGGTACATATATAGGATATGTACCCTTGGCTGGCTTGGTGCTCGATAGATAGCCCAGGCTGGCCTTGAACTCATAGCTATCCTTCTGACTTTGTAACAGTTGCAGACCTTAGCACAACTGACTCCATGATGGAAATACCATTCAAGCCAAAAGACTCAAAACTAAAACAAAAGATCTGATCCATTCAAGTGCATGGTTCTGGGAAGACTCTAAATGTACTAACACTGCTTTTTAGCTTCTGAAGTTCCAATTCTGGCTAACTGAAGTATGTCAGTCAACCCAGAATGTGGTTTTTGTGCTTAAAAACTTACTCTGAGAAAGGCTGAAGTCTACACTGGGTGAAGTCTACACGGCAGTGAAGACTACACTGGGTAGTCACTGGCTGGTCAATAAAGAGTTTTTATTGTCTTAAACCCATGTCTGAGCAGTCTTCTTTGGTGGACATCCCGCCATGCCTCAGCCTCCCACATACAGAGATTATAGGCTTTGCTACCGCCACCCAGAACTGCTATTTGAGATCATGAACAAGTTCATATCTGCACACAAGGCGAATATAGACCATGCCCCAGAAAGAGCACTTGTAGAGTTAGCATTACATATGCGTATTTGACACTATGGAAGGGTATCAGGGCTGAAGAGATCAGAGGAACTGAGTTCAATTCCTGTCACCTTACAATATGGCTCACAACCCCCAGTAACTCCACTTCCAGGGGATCCATGGGCACCAGGCACACACATGTGGTGCACAGCTACACATGGAGACAAAACACCATACATGTAGAGTAAAATTTTAAATTAAAGAGTGAGAATGCCTTCATATGTTTACTTACACAATGAAAAAAAGCAGAAAACATCTGGAAAAACAAAGTCTAAACACTAGAGCCGCTCCTCATCCAAACTTTTGTAGAGCCTGCATAGCAGAGTGGGCCCTGTAAGGACCAGGCTTTCCTGTGACCAGGGTTTTTGTGTGTTTGTTTTTCTAATGCTAGTGATGAGTCTCAAGCTTTGCAGATGCCAGGCTAGCCCTTCACTACTGAGATGTGCCCTCTTCTTTTTCAAGACAAGGCCACCCCTATGTAGCCCAGGCTGGTTTCAAACACAAACCCTCTTGCCCCTGCTGCAGTTTCCAAGTAGGACTACAGGCCAGTGCCATTATACAGGTCCCCATGTGCTTTCCTGACAGGACAGCTGTGGTTGGGCAAGAGACGGGAACTGAGTTTCTGTGTGCCTCCTACTGAAGTCTTTAAGCAGTAGCTGGGTTCTGGGGCCAGCATGAGCGCCCATGGCCTTCTTTGTAACCTGGCTACTGGTGAGTCTTTATGAATGACCAAGGGAAGGGACGGAAATATGTCCCTGTCCACAGCCAGACCACACGGAATGGGACTGACTCAGTGTGATCTCAGAAAGGAGGCAGCTCGGGCCTGGTTGGTGCATGCACAGGAGGAAACACGATCCGAGGCAACGGGATGACACCAACAGGGTTCCTTATTCCTTCCAGCTGAGCTCTAAAGATCCATTTTGTCACAAAGAATGTCTCAAATAATGACATTGCCCTCCACTGTCTCTGTGGGGCAGGAGGAGCTGCTGAAGGGTCAGCAGAGGTGTGCAGAGCAAAGGACAGGATTCAGGGTGGTGGTAGGAGACGCAGGGGTGGGGTAGGCAGAGAGAGGGCGGAGGGGGAGGAGGAGAGGAGGGGGAGAGGAGAGTGCAAGTAGAGAGACAGAGGGAGGGGGGAAGAGGGGAGAGAAGAAAAGGGAAGCAGAGGAGGCAGAGGGAAGGAAAGAGAGGGAGGGGGGAGGAGGAAGGGAGACATGGAGGAGGGAGTTTGGGAGCCAATAGATAAATATACAGAGAGGAAAACAAGGAAGTTGGTTGCCAGTCTGGGACCCATAGAGTCATATCAAATAGGATCCCACACTAAACTTCAGAGTTTGGACCTGGGCTGGGTGGGGCTGGTGGAGGGTAAGCCCCTGTGGAGGCTGGTTGAGAAGAGCCTAAGGACAAGAAGCAATAAAGACCTGACCAGCCAGGAAGCCCCGATCAGGGAGCCTAAGGGATTTAATGCATGGCATGGATTCAGTGCCTGAGGTACTGGCTGTTCTCTGTCGACAGATACCTTTCTCCAGAGGTGGGGGTGAGGCTTTGAGGAGAAGGCAGGAAAGTTGCTTCTGTACACTGGGTGTGACTAGATAACCCTTCCCAGGCCATTATAGTTATAGTGTCCATGGCGGGCATAGGGAACAGTGGAGTGGCTGTGCCCAACAGTGTGATGGAGGCCAGTAGTATGATCGAGATGAGCAGCACCGCCTGGCTACATTCCTCATGTGCACATTTTCCATCTGGCAAAAGATGGCTCATGTCACCCTACATGTCCAAAGACCCACGCTCTGGTTCTATTCCTGTAGCTTTCAGGGACCATAAAGGCACAGAGCCAGGAGCAGAGGGGAGTCATTCCAGCCCCTACTGGTGACCAGGTCTGACACCAGCTTCAGGCTGCATGCTTTGGGTCCCTCTCCTGCCCTTCCTCAGATCTGTGGGCTCATGTCCTCAGACTTCCTTGGGTCAACATGGAGAGAGACGGGAGGAAAGGCAGAGGGCATGGGTGGGGGAGCAGCAGGGTGTTCCTCTCAGCGGGGTAATGTCCCAGGGTGGCTCCCACTGTGAGTTCCCCCTTCCCCTAGCTCCCACGAGAGCGAGAGTGGCTGTAGCTGTAGATTCAGCTCTGGAGGCCTTGGGCCCTGTTTGTACAGGCTGCAGGTTGGCTGGCTTCCTGTCTGAGTGCCTCCGATGGGTTCTTCTGTCTCGTCCCTGTACTGATTATGCGCTCTAACTCCAGCTGAAACCTCAGACCCTTCCTATGTTCCCAGGTGACCCAGGTGCCCCCTGCTATGTGACCCTTGATAAAGTACTGGCCTCATGTTCCATATATATCTCCCCTTCCCTTCTAGGAAAGACTCTCATGTAGAGCAGGTTCAGTTTGAACTTGTACCTGAGCATGCCTTGAGTTCTTGGGTCTCTTGCCTCTACTTCCCTAGTTCTGGGATTATAGGCATCCATCACTACCACACCTGGCTTTTTGGAGGATTGTAGGTACTGGAAACTAAACCTGGAATATGGACTAGTTGGTTGAATGCTTGCCTGGTATGCCTCAAACTCACTGGGATCTGCCTGCCTTTGCCTCCAAAGTGCTGGGATCAAAGGCATGGGGCACCACAGCCTGTCAATAAACAAAATCTTAACCAAAAAAAAAAAAAAAAAGAGACACTTGAAGTTGACTTCTGGCCCCCCTGATCACATGCATACATCTGAACACTCACCTGCACGAACACATGTGTACACACATACACATGAGGGCAACTTGGAAGACACAGGCTGGTAAAACCCTATCCCTAAACAACAGATAAAGTTCACTGCACAAAATGTGGGAGATTCAGAGAGAACAGTGTTGTGCTGTCAATGTCCAGTGCTGATAGGAGGAAACATCTAGGGCTGCATCTAGGCCGGTTACCTAGGTTACCTACCCCTGCCCACAGCAATGCTGTGGCCCTGCTGGAGAGCCACAACAAGGAAGCACACAGCCTTAAGGGTGTGGGCTGGAGATTGACTGCCCACCCCCGGGAAAGGAGTGGTGATTGGCTGCCTCACTGGCTTCTGCATAACAAACAGACTTTGGACGACCTGAACTCTATTGATCTGTTTACAATGCCCCACGGGATAGTTTCCAAACTGACTAACTTTGCTAAGTTAGGTCTCTAAATCCAGAGTAGCCCATCTGCCACTGTGGACCACCCTGCCAGTGTTCAACAGAATGCTTGTCCCATCTCACTGTAAAAACTGGGAAGAGCTGGGTGCATAGCTCAGTGGTGGAGTGCTACTCACAGTCCTAAACTTGGATCCTAGCACCCTATCTGGAAGCTCACAACCACCAGTAATTCCAGCTCCAAGTGACCTAATGCCCTATTCTGGCCTTCGTGGGCACCCAAATGCAGGTGGCAGACACAAAGACAAAGATACATACACACAAATGAAAATAAATTAAAGACATATAGAGTTTGACTGCTATGTTATTTCAAGATCTATTATCAGCTATATTAATCCTAACCATGAAGACACATGGTTCACGGACACACACAAATACACATAAATAATAATCATAATTTTAAAAACTGCTCTGCATGTAGACCCCGTGCTAGGCTGATGCAGATACTCTCAGATCCTGTGCTTGGCACTGAAGGACAGTTTTGTGTCATAGAAATGACCCTTAGCAACAGGATATTTCTCCACAGGATCTTTGTAGTTTCCTCTGACTTTAGAATTGTCTCTAAGCAAAAAAAAAAAAAAAAAAAAAAAAAAAAAAAATGTTTAAGAATTGCTCACACACACACACACACACACACACATTACAAAAAAAAGAAAACAGTTTCTGCCACTTGCTTCTCTCCCCTCTCTGACTCTCCTACCCCCTGCTGTTGCCTGGGGAACAGTTTTCTAGGTTCACTGGCCAGGTCCTTTTGAAATGATTTATGTTTTTGAGCCCAGAGCCCAGCATTTTTTAAACATCTGTTTGATTCACTATTGTTGCATGTGTGTTATGTGTGAAGATGTATGTGTGTGGATGTCAGAGGGCTGCAGGTGTGTACCACCATGCCTGGCCAGTCGTGATCCTGAAGACTGGAGGGAGGGTCACCACCCATGTGGTGAAGATCCCTAGAACACCAGGGCAGGTAGCCCCCTGACTGATAATGGCTGCTAGGGACTGGGGAGCCAGTTGTATTCTCAGAAGGCTGAGGCAGAAGAATTGTGAGTTTGAAGTAATCCTGGCCTGTGTAGTGGAGACCTCTTCTCAGTCAGTCAATCAGACAATCATCAATCAATTAATCAATCAATTGATCCTTGTGGTTAAGGTCTGTACTTCCAAATACTCAGGAGGCCAATGCAGGAGGTTCACAATTTCAATGTCAGCTTGAGAGAGATTAAGTTTGAGGCCAGTTTGGTTAGCTTAATAAGACCCTGTCTCAAAACAGAAATGTTTCCCATGCTCCTGTAAATAACCCATCACTCATATTGCTTTATGTAACCTCAGTTAAACTCATTGGTACCCACATACACATGGGATCACTAGTTGGGAATCAGTGGGAGGATGACAAGGGAGGGAAATGGGATGCGTAAGATGAAAATACATTATACACATGCCTGAGAATGTAGGAAGCCCATCATCATGTATAATTCATGTATGCCAATAATAAAATTGTTTTTAAAAGAGACTTTGCAGAGACTCCAATTTTATATAAAAAAAACTAACATTTCCAAAGCACACCCCACCCCTCAAATAAAGTCAAGAGAAGTCTGGAAATGTATAGCAAGGTGGAAATACAGTGCCTAGCATGGTCATAGCCCTGGGTTCAATCTACAGTACCAAATTAAAAGAAAGAAATAACATTGTGCCAGGCCGTGGTGGCACAGCTGGTGGTACCAGCACTGGGGAGGCACAGGCAGGGTTTGAGGCCAGCATGGTCTACAGAGTGAGTTCCAGGACAGCCAGGACTATGGAGAGAAAACCTGTCTGGAAAAACCAACCAACCAACGAAACAAACAAATAAACAACATTGTACACAAGAAGAGTATGTATCTATGGGCTATATTTGGACCCTATTTCTCATGGCCCAAACCATTCTTAAAATGGTTTGCCTACTCGGGGAGATACTGTGCTTTCCTTAAGGCAGTTTGGGGTGTGGGAGATAGGAGGGCCAGTCCCTCTGGTCTTGGCAAGGTAAGATTGAGCCCTGGCCGGTGTGGTGTTGGTGAGGTGGACATGCTGGTCTGCTGCCTGGGGAGGTGTGGGGCAGAGGCTGAGCAGACACAAAGCTGGTAAAACAGACCTTCAGGGCCACTTGCCTGCACACCTGCTTCCTTCTTGATCTTGTACTGAGATTCATAATTTCCCATTCTTTCAGAGGATGCTCTGTCAGTGCCCACGTCCCACCAGCCCTGATGCCTTTTTTTTTCTGGGGCTCTACACTAGGGATACCAAGTCCTGGGGTAAACATCTGCGCTGAGAAGGGAAGGTGGGTGCACTTGCCTGGAGCCTTTCCCCGGTGTCTTCCAAGTGGGCTATATTGTCAGCATGCTGCCGCTTCTTGGTCACCAAACACTCTGAACAGTCCTGGATAAGTTTCTATGATGGGGATTACAAGAGAAAGGAGAAAACTGTCACTTCCAAGCTCTCATCCTTGCTTTCCCCTTTATTATATTTTCTCTTTTATTATATTTTCCCCTTTATTATATTTTCCTTAGTCACAATTTGTTTATCTACGGTGTGGGGGCAGGGGCGCTGGTGCCACAGTCTGCATGTGGAAGTCAGAGGATGACTTGCAGAGTCTCACCCATCCCTGAATTCTTTTTCAGCAGAGGTACCCCAGGCTCTGAAAGTGGGTAGCTTGCCCCAGTCACGTGGCTAGGTGGGTGGTGAGCAGATTCTGACTCTCTGAGCCTTAAGCCTTTTTCCAGGATGCCACCGCCAGCCTGGATGTCTGTGTGTCTGCTTTTAGAAGGTACTATTTTTCTAAATACTTGCTTTGGGCCTTCTGCCTCCAACACTGGCTATCTCCATCTTAGCCATCTTTACAACTGGTCCATTTGGCACCTGGGCCTAACATAGGGGCAGGGGTGGAAGTCTGGACTCTGAATCAACCAGGATTACCACGGCATGGCAATTTCCAGGGGAAAGCTGGCAGGAGGAGTATGGGCTCTAGAGTACGAATAAAGCCAAGTCAGGGCCCTTGTTCTGCATCCTTGTGCCCAAAATCCATTTCCTTCACTGCAAACAGGGATGCCGTGGAGGTTAATGAGGTTCTAGTGCCTGACCAACAGCACGTGCTCAGTACAGGTCATTTTGTCTCTTTCACACCCAACAAGCCTTTGCTGCAGTGGTGAATGGCTTACTGGCAGAGGGAAGGAGGTCAGCCTTGGTCCTAGCTTCCCCATGCTCATACTGTGACATCTAAGCTAACTACTGCATAAGGTGGCTCAAGGGTACCCCAGCTTTCTAGTTTGAACCCTCCACCTCCAGCCACAGGGATTTCTTGTCTTGGGACCCCAGGAAACCTTACTTATCTTTCAAGGCCAGGTCCAACGGCATTTCCCTGGGGAAGGCTTTCTTGGCTATCTGCCTCAAGTTCCATCTTTTTTTCTGGCCCTAACTGACCACCACCTTGGACTCCTACTATGGTATTTACCACATGGCATTGTTACCGGTCTCCCCGACCAGCCAGGCAATACCAGGTAAAGGGAGGATCTGACCTATGACTCAACTCATGACACAAAGCATTCTGCCCAATGGGCGTTTGATGAATGAGATGGGCAATTGAGGGAGACACTTGGGTCACATCTCTGGAAAATAGCCTTGGATTTCAAAGTAGCAGCATCTGAGGATCATTCACAGGTAGCAAAAGGAAGGTTCTGGAAGCAGGGACATTTCTTGTGAACTGGGGACTCCAACAGCCACACTGTCCTTCCACAGGCCTGAAGTCAAGGAAGAGCATAAAGCAAGGTGCTGCCAGGCAGAGTTCAAAAGACCTCTTGGAGATAGAAATAACAAAATCAGCTTTGTGGAGACAGAAGGTTCTGCCTCATCTGCCTTCAGTTCTGAAGAGCCAGGCCCACCTTTGAGATAAGCGGTGAGCAGGACTAAGACTGGTAACACCTGGCTGGTAAGGGTGCAGTGATGTGTTTGCATAGGAGGAGGAGCCCGATTGAGACAGGAAAGATGGCCTTATTGAGTTTGCAAAGCAATACAGGCCTCCAGGCCCCAGAGAATGATCTTTTATGAACTCCAGTGTTCAGAGGCATTTCTAGGCCTTACCAGGCATACTAGAACATTTCCTTTTCTACACCCACGGCTCCAATCCGGCCTTTTGACATAGTCTGTCTATGTAACACAGGCTGGCCTTAAACTGTTTCCCTGCCTCATCTTCCCTGGTTCGGTGTGTTAGGTGAGCGTCCCTGAGCCCTAGGCTGTGTTCACTAAACCTTAGGTTTTCTTTAAGCCTTCAGAAGCGGTAAAGGACAACTGAGTACCAGCCTGAGTCTCCCAGTACCCCTAACTAATCTTTCACCGTGGCTTGGGCTACCTTTGCCCTTCCACAGGGTTCTGCCTCTGAAACTTACACGTCTACCACCTAGGGGACCTCAGGGCCCCCTTAGGTTTCCAGGTCCTAAGGTGATTGGTTTGGCAGTGAGACCTGGCTGGGCTAGCGTTCCTTCGTCCGTTATTTCTGTTGTTACTCCAATGAGCAATCTCCGCCCGCCCAGACCTGCGGTGAACGTCCCGCATCTCCCCACCTGCACGCTCGCAGCCTCCTCCTGGGCCAGGCCCACGGGGTGGCCGCGGTGGGCACCCAGCACCGGGCACAGCGCGCACACGCAACGGCCACAGCGGCGACAAAAGAGCTCAGCCAGGCGTTCGCTGTGCTCAGGACAGCGCCAGTTGCAAGCCCCGTTGGGCTCGACCGGCGCCGGCGCGCGGACTGTCTCGCTCGCCATTTGCAGCCGTAACAGCGGTCTTCTCCGCAGTGCAGCCGGATGGAGTTGCTGGAGAATCGAAACCTTGCTCGGGGCGGATCTGGCAACCCAGCTCCCAGCTGCGGGCGCCGGGGTGGGGTGGGGTGGGGTGGGGGTGGGGTGAGGGCGGTGATGACCCGTTGGGGAGCGAAGCTTGGTCCCGCCTAGTGCTGGTTACGCAGCACAGCATCCATCTACTCTTCGCCCTTAGGAGGAGGCCACCACAGACAGGAATGCAAGGACTGTCTTGGACAGTCTAACTGGTAGAAGGTGGGCTTCCCACTTGATGAGTCTGGTCTAGGGCCTTTCGGCAAACTGCCACTCCCACTTTCCCCTTTCCCTGTAGTGCTCCTTCCTTTAGGTCAGCCTTGCAAGTTTTGAACAGATTTCTGGGAAACCCCAATTAGCCCCACTCTGAAGATGCTCCGATCCCTCCTGCCCTGGTGGATGGTGAGTGGTTCACCCTTTGTTTTCAGCCTCAGGAACTTGCAGTTCTCCACTTGGAGTGTAGCTGCTGCTCACTGCCACCCATCCACTTGGTATTTCGGCTTATCTCCTCCTTCTCCGGAAGCCTCACTTTTCCAGAGTAGCCTGACCACTACACCCCATCTCGTTTAACCACGACTGATAACAAACACTTATTGCTGTTTGTCAGCAGGGGTATCTGGTCCAGACACTGGTGCTAAATTGTTATTCGCAGAACGAGTTAACAAAAGGAAATCTCCATGCATTACAATATTGAGCTTGGTGTTTTATTATTATTTTGGTTGAGGCAGGGTCTCTCACTCACTCTTTATCCAGGCTGGACTGAAATCAATTCTTGTGCCTCAGCCTTCCAAGCGCTGGAATTACAGGGGAATTACCACCCACTGTTGATTGCAATATTTGTCCATTGCACAATTCTGCATCTATTTTAACTTTTAGTTCTTTAATTTTTTTTTTTTACAAAGGTACAAGGAATTTAAGAAACATTAAAACAATCATTCAAAGGCATCAGGCACGGTTTCATATGAAAAGCGTAGATTTCTCACTTCCTGTTTCCCTCTAGGGCATGCCCTCAAGTTTTGTTCTAGGAAACAGAATTATTCTAGAGCTAAGGTGGGTAGCAGCCAATTGCTCATCTCCAAGCATTCTTTCTCCTCATCCACACAAAGTTCCTGAGTCAACAGAAAGAGAGCTCCCAAGGCATGAAATAAAGAGACCAGGGCTGCTTTGCCACTGGGTGGACACTGCCTGCGTGGGCACTGTTGCTCCATCAACTCAAGAACATAAGAACACAATCTTTAAAAAAAAATGACTTTAAAAAAATATCTGATAAAAATTACCTATCCCTCTCCCTTGCTATGAAATAATTTAAATAATTTATTCTAGATGTTAAAAAAAAACACACACACAAAAAAACCCAACAAATAAATTTGTTCATAGCCGCCTGTGACCTGTTCTTGAATGTGAGGTCTGCGTCTGGATCCCTTACAATGGGGAGAGCTTTTCTTGGGGGGGGCAGTGATGTTGTACGGAGACATGATGGTAAGTTCTGGGGACCCCACCCCCAGCCATACATGGCGGGAGGCAGCCAGTGGCTTTGGACTGGTGTCTTCACTCTGAGGCAGTCCTGTCTTCTGAATGTGGGGGTTGGAGACGGGGTGGGAGCTTTACAGACTATGATATACTGTCACAAGTGAGAGAGCCCCAACCCAGGAGATCCAGTTCCCCATCAACGCCTGGGACTTAGCCTTTTTCTATTCTCAGGATCACACATAAGGCAAGCATAGCTGGCTCATCATTGGAGATAGAGTCCTAGTCTAGTGATTGATGGGTGGAGAATGAACAGAGGAGCACAGGACTCTGGTGTGTGCAGGTACCAGCGACAATGAGGGGTAAGGCCATGTGGGAGTCTTGGGATTGTCCTGCTTTCTTTGCCAGTACAGGTGCAGGAGACTAGCCATTAGTGTCTCCATCCCCATTGTACTCAAGTTACCCAGGCAGCTTGTCCAAAGGGCCACACTTTCTACTGAAGAGTCGGCTTCAGTGGGGTGGGTCTGGTCATCAGTATGTCTATCTAGAGGGATGTTAATAGATGACATGAGTGGTTCCTGCAATTTCCACTTGAGCTCCAGAGTGACCTTGTGTGACAGGGAAAACACTGTAGGCCTGTCCAGAGGGAACCGAGTACGCAGGTGTGTGTATGTGTGTCTGTGTCTGGTAAGCTTTGGAAGCAAGCTTTGTCTCAGTTCTTCTCAGGCACTAGGTGGGCTGCTGTACTGACCACCAAGAGAGAAAGAGCCTCAGACAGGGCATAGGACACACAAGGAAGGACACTGGCTTTCCGACCAGAAGCTACCTGGTCCCACGTCTCATCCAGTGCAGTGAACCAGAGCCCTTCCTGGTGGGTGGCTACAGGGCTTAGCCACCTCCAGTGCTGGGGTCCCCCTGCCTCTCAGAGGCCTTTGTAGCCTAGGTGGAAGTCTGTGTCTGCCCTCCAGGATGTGGCAGGCTGGGAGGTTGGCATCCCCACTTAGGGACCTATCTACCCCCATCCGGCTGCTTCTGGTTGGAAGGATGGGATTGGCCACATGTCTGTGGTTTAGAATTGGGCCAAATCTTCACTCATTCCTCTCAGATTGAGCCCCCTACACCAGTGTAGTTTCTTCATTAAGCCCAGGTCATCAACCCACAAGCATGGTGGCAAGCCACAGAGGGGGCAGCTCATTGGAGCTTTGCCCTTGTTCAGATGGAAAAACTAAGACCAGAGGGAGAAGTTCTTGGTAAGAGGTCACCAGGTAAGTGGGGACATGGCTGAGGTCAGAACCAACGGATTCCTGCTGTGGGGATTGAGAACAGCGCTGTCAGACAGACCCAGAAGGACAGAACCTCAGTCCAGCCCTGCCAGGAAACATCATACGTGTCTCTCTCTGGGCCTTTGTTTCCTTGCCTATAGACTGAGGGAATTAAGTGGTTTTCATACTTCTAAAAGATAATCTAGCAGTCAAAGTATATATTCCAAAGTGGGCTAATGGAGATGGAGGACATCTGTTAAGATTGAGCCCACTGACCAAAACCACCCCTTACTCTATGACCACAGTTGCAAACCACATGCAGGTTGACCTACCCAGTCCTTCCAGATCTTTCAACCAAGCTTTTACCCCCCTCTGGGAGGTCATAGTTCTTCACAAACCCTTAAAACCAGAGTTCAGCAGAAGGTAGGGTGCAATATAAACCAGTCAGGGCAGAAACTGCAGCTATGAGAAGGCATCAGGGAAGCGGCACCATGTCCCACCGAGATCTCTTTCAGTGACTGAGAGTTTTGTTTTCTGGTATAAAATATAGAAATAGTGATTGTTCTTGGGGACCTGTGGTTTGGTTGTGGACCTCCCCACAGAGCCTAGTGTTGTCCCTGAGGGCAAGGATGGTGGAGACCTCTGCTCAGAACTGTCCTAAGCTCATCCGCAGGTTTTTGATCTCCAGTTCCAGCTGCTTGGTCTGGACCTCTCTCTGGATCAACAGCTCCCGGAGCCTCCGGATCTCTTCCTGTTGCCGGTAAAACATCTGCAGCAGCTGGGGAAGCATAGGGCAAAAGGGCAAGGTCATCTGGGTGGCCAGGATGGGCAGCAGTACAAAGGCTAAGCCACAATTTTGACATGAGGGTGGTTAAATTATCAAGAGACAGTCATTGCTTGGCTCTGTCACAAAATCCTTGCTCAGTTCATCCAATAAATGAAGTTCAAAAAGATTTGTTTGTGTCCTATTTCTCATTTCCAAAACCCACCTATGGAGTTTCTAGTTTACTGAGAGAGGAAGATGCACCCCAACTGTGGATGGCATCATCCCATGAGCTGGGTCCTGGACTGAATAGGAATGAGAAAGGAGCTGAGAACCAACAGTCATCTCTCTCTGCCTCTGACTGAGATGGCAATGTGACCTGCTGTCCTAAGCTCCTGCTGCCCTGGAACCGTGAGTTCAAATAAACGTCATTTAGATTGCCTTTGTAAAATATTTTGTCACAGCAACAACAAGGAAAGGTTGCTAATACAAGTGAGTTACCTCACCTGCCCCGAGAGTCAGTTTTCTCTTTTGGGAAGTGAAAGCTAACCCCTTATCATAATTGCTACCCCTGCACCAAACAGATTAGATGCTGGGCACCCCCTGAGGGTCTCTGTCGTTTCCTCAAAATGCCTGTGACATCTCTTAGGGTGGCAGTGTTAGTACCTTCTCTTTCAGTGTGGAAACTAAAGCTGAAGTTGTTTCTGTTAGCAGTTTGTGCACAGTTGTATGAAAGTAACTACGACAGCAGTCTGGCATACAGCAGATGCTTAACATGCACTGGCTCCAAAACCAGACCCCAAAATGCCAGAATGCCCAGACCAGGGCCATAATGGCACCAAGTCACATCTTGTACATTTCACAGACTGTCCCCACCACTGTATGCGCATCCATCATCTCTGCCTGCTTATGGCCACTGCTCAGAGCCCACAAGGTGACTACGTTTGCCAAGTGAGTCAAGGTCCAGGACAGCAGTCCAGTAGGCTGCCCTTCTGTCCTCATTTCCCTCCCAGCCCACCATGCTCTCCCATCCTGCAGGCCCCTCTCCCTCTCCCACCTCATTTTCTGTCTTTGGTGGGGGACATTCGAAAACATCAAAGCCATTGGTCAGCCAGGGCTTCTCCTCCAGCCGATGCTCTGTGGCCCACTTTGGCGACTTTTCTTCCAGCATAGAGCAAAGTGTATGGCCGTCATTTGTCGCCAGCTTTGCCTTGGGTTCCAAGGGCTGGGGTGAAACTTGGACCATAAAATTGGAGAGAGGTTTCTCTGGAAGCAGTGGCTGGGAGTCCAGAAGTTCAGAGCCAGGTCTAAGGGACATCATGACGGGCTCTGAAAGGGAAGTAGAAGGCTGTGAAGAGGGCTAAGTGGCCATGAATAGATAGGCATGGGGGAGGGCATGGACACAGGCAGGCACTAGAGACACACCTCTGTAGACAGGCATTGACCCATGCCAGAGCAATC